CACGGGGTCACACTCCAGACGCGTGACCCTTGGAATCCACAAATTCCGTCCGATCGCCAGACACCAGATGGTTTTTCTATGGCTATTTTCGAGGAGGAGAAGCCCCCGATATACCATCCGCCGATACACAGATCCATTAAGGCCAAGAGAGGGAGCGGGCAGATTCTGACCCGGACATGTCAACATTTCCGCCTCGCGCTCACCCCGAGGCCAATGAGTCATCATTGAAAATAAGTGAAGAGTGAGAGAGTGAGAGGGTGAGGGAGTGAGAGAGTGATAGGGTGATAGAGAGAGAGCGAGAGAGAGCGAGTCCAAAGAGTCCATCCATTTCCTGCCATCAACATATTCGCGTGTTTTTTCAACTGGAAGCTCCGCCCACTAGACGATTTGAAGTCCAGGGTTTCAGGCCGATGGCAAGATTCATTCAAGAAGCTTCCGTTCGATCCTAGCTACAATTTTTAGCGCCTTATTATCTAATTACATTTTTTGACGTAATTTTATTTTTGGTAAATAGCCAACCATTATAGTCAATTTCTCATGACTAAAATATGCTTAAGCCGTGCTAAATTTTTATTAAAGGGATAGGAAAGGCAATTTTTCCTTGTTCAAAAGCTCAGAATTTTGCGCTTATAGTTAGGTGTTAATTTTGCAATCTTGAGATACCACGTTTTTAAAATATTTTCCCTAAAAAGTTTTGGAAAATCGAATCTTTTATAGCTTTTCTAAGAGCTATTCTGTTTAACTAAATTTTATGAATTCTAACCCGACGATTTTTTTTCAGAATGCCGCACGCCTTCATCACCGCGAAGTTGGACCCGAACTCGGAGGAGTTCTACGATGTCTTGGTGCACGATCCGTCAAAGTTGATCATCGTCAAGTTGCAGCAATGCCCCGGGCTCGTCAAGCATGCCAGGTAGATGATCTAGCTAGCATCTCATTCGTACTAATTTTTCCTTGCAGCTCCCCTGACAGCTCGCCTTCCCCCGTCCTCAAGGTGCACGCTTCCCCGATGGCGGTCATGAATGTGGCCGAGGAGATCGGATTTGAGGTAGATTCACAAAAGGAGCACTTTCTGGTACTGACGGGCGAGAGAGATAGAGAGAGAGAGAGAGAGAGAGAGAGAGAGAGAGATGAGAGATAGCGAGTGAGTGAGAGAGACAGAGAGCGAGAGAGCGAGAGAAAGAGGGAGAGGGAGAAGGAAGGCGGGGAGAAAGAGAAAGAGAAAGCGGGAGAAAAAGAGAAAGGGAGAGAGAGCGAGAGAATGGGGGAAGAGAGCGATTGAGAGAGAACGAGAGAGAGGGAGGGAGCGGGAGAGTGAGAAAGATGGGAAAGCGTTTCGATCCTTGAGAAATTCTGTCTCGCTTTCTGGCTTATCTAGTTCGATCGGGCAGGCTAGCAGCGGTCATTGAGGAAGTTTTTCTTGTAGAATTTTTTAAGCAAGGTCAACTAGCAGAAATTCTTGGGGAATCTATATTCTCGTGCATTTTTTTTCTTTCAGTTGGAGGAGCCACTCACCCAGACCCCTCCCGACGACCGCCACTTCATCTGGCGCCTCCACAAGCCGCACAAGCTGCCGTCGATGACGGAGCTGATCGACCAGGCCGATTGAGTTCATCTATCATCCTCTGATTTATCTATCCTTCATCCAAAGCCGATTTACTAACAATTCTTATACTCGATTCCAAGCTGTGCAACCCATGTATCTGTTCTTTATTCACAATTCCGCACATTACTTCCCACATTAACGATACACCATAAATCACAAATGAGCACGAAAAGTCGGGTAAAACACAATGAAAAGCTCCTAAAAATTAAGCCTAGACGGTTGAGCTGCTTGACGTCGCCGTCGCGACTCGTCGCCCTAATAAGTCATCGACTCGTCGGCCCGGTCGCTGTTGTCGTCGTTGTTGTTGTAGTCGAACTGCTCGGACTTGTCCGTCTGGTCGCGGCTTGTTCCCGGGGTTTCCCACTCCATCGAGTTGTCCCCGGGGGTGATGTTGGTGCGGCTGGTCGACGGCTTTGGCGAGGTGTTGTTGTTCTTCACCGGGGTGGGGTTGAGCAGGCCGCGTGGATCGGCAGGGAACAGCTTGTCATAGATGGCCGCGCGTTCCTGGAGATGAACATAAAGGTTGGGCGTCAAGTTCTTACCGGCGAGATACGCCTCAGCAGGCATTCCCGCATGCTCGTCACCGGGTTCAGGACGTTCGTCAACTGAAAAACGTTAAAAATAGTATAAAATATTTTTGGGTTTTCCCCGGCGATCCAAATTTTTACAGCTGTGGAGACGACTTTAAGCAGTTCAGGATCAAGACAATTAAAATTTGCGTTCGCGACGCTGAATGTGTCAATCGTTGGTCGATGTCCAGGGTCGTTTCTCACCTTCCCGGCCCCTTTAAAGTACTCAAACACCCGAAAAATCCATTACCTTTGGCCGAAACGGGAAGCGCTGAAAGCCCTCGCTGTTGACCGACGAGGTGGAGACGCTCAGCGGGGCCGGGTCCTTTGGGGTGAAGGCGGAGGAGGCGGCGGAGACGGATGGGCGGCGGAGAGCGTGGGGCTAAATTTGCACTACCAGGTCCAGAATTTTGGGGTACCTGAGCTGCCGGAGTCGGCATGACGCTGCTGCGGGCGGTGACCGGTCGCGGCGGGGTGGGGGCCGCGGTGGCGGCCTTGCGAAGCGGAAATCGCTGGACGGGCCGGATCGGGGTCTGGAATCATGGTCTTTTAACGGAACGGGATCGCTTCGCTGAGAGCGAGAGCCACAGAGAGAGAGAGAGAGAGAGAGAGAGAGAGAGAGAGAGAAAATGGGGGCGAAATAGAGAGATGGCAAAACCTACCGAACACTTCGATGTACCCGGCGTCTGCATGGCGGTCGGCCGAGAAGGAGCCGGGATTAGATAGAAATGATGGCCAGCAGCCGGATAAGTAGAAACTCCCATTCAAAAATCAGAGTCGGAGCACTGATATGCAAATTATTGTGCATTCATGGATGCCGTTGGGAGAAAGGGATAGAGATAGAGAGAGAAAAAGATAGCGAGAGAGAGAGCGAGAGAGAGATAGATAGCGAGAAAGTGATCGGCATATTGGTTCAAGCGATAAATTGTATGAAGCTGTAGTGCATTATTGCACCATCACAGATTTGCCTAAAGAATCATTTCGATCTTTGGCTCGGATCTTTGGCAACGATGTACCGCGCAAAATTTAATCCAATAGAACTTTTAGGATTTGCGGGTGGGGGGGGAAGGACCCAAAATGACCAAATTTTCGGCTTTTGCAAACATTTTTCTAACTTTTTGGGAAGTTTTTCTACTGAAATATAGTTAAAAATTGCTAAAAACAATGTGAAAACATTTTATATTCGGGGTTAGGGGGCGTAGCCCGCTAACCCCTTTTGGTTTGAGGTACCCCCCCATACGACTCTTTTGGGGTCCTTTTCCGGATTTAAAAAAGAACCACGCATCGGATCGCTAAACTGAATACACCATCGGAACCGGCGACACTTTTTACATACTATAAGCTTTTAAAATTTAAGAAAAAGTGAAATTTCGAATTTTAACAGCCGATTTAAATTGCGTTTCGAGGGGGGTCTGCGTTTGTATGTCTGTATGTTTGTCCGCAAAACCTTTGTAGTCGTCAAAAAGTGCCTTCCCATCATCCGTTTGGGCTGAAATTTTTTACAGTTATTGGGTAAATGATAATCTCGGACCGCAAGAAGAGTTTTTTTCAAAATAGGCTTTTAAAAAATTTATATTTAATTTTTAAGTTTAAAAGCTAAATTGCGGCCAAAACAAGGGTTAGTGATGTCCGTTTGGGCTGAAATTTTGCTCAAATAGGCATTAGACCATACCAGATAAAGTAAAGAAGAAATTACATCGAAAGAATGCTTCTTCTCTGAGATATTATAACTTTAAACCTTCGCCAGACGGGGCGCCACCCTCCCCTTTGGCGGCCCCAGTCCGGAGCCAGGGCGGGCGGGTCTAGCTTCCCCAAGACAGGCCTCCAGTCTCCCGGTTGGCCTAGTGGTTAGCACGCTTTACGGGGAAGTCTTGCCCCACGGGTTCGAACCCCACACGCAACATCCGTTTTGCCGATTGGCCCCCGTGCATCCTTATGGTTTCTAGTGCCGCTACAAAGCGCCGCAGACAAATTTTTTTGAAGTTTTGCGTACAAGAGTTCATCTGAATAAGTATTCATTGGCTTATTTTACGATCTTAACAATAACATTGAGGCAAAAAGGGCTAAATTCTCTCTAAGGCTAAAAAGAGTCTTTTCAAAAAAAGGGCTTTTGGTTTTCGCAAAAAGAGACGAATTCTCGTGGCAACAAAAAGCGCTAAATTCCTTTCAAACTCTTAAAATGCCACAAAATGTGGGATCAACCAAAAGTTGCTGGCACCTTATTAAAATGGACAGATCCAGTTTCTAGCGGTTTCGGCTTGCAAATAATTTCTGTATTATTTTCTATTGACACTTTCTTGAAATTAAACTGTGGATTGACCTGTGATCTGGGATGGTAACGAGTTTATCAAGATTTTAAATAGCCAGCAACTTTTTGTTGTTCCCGCATTTTGTGGGATTTTAAGAGTTTGAAAGGAATTTAGCGCTTTTTGTTGCCACGAGAATTCGTCTCTTTTTGCGAAAACCAAAAGCCCTTTTTTTGAAAAGACTCTTTTTAGCCTTAGATTGATTACTAGGTCAACCGTGACCGGCAGGAAAAAATTTGGTCCCCCCACCCGCGAATCCTAAGGAACCTATCTAAATGGCTGAACGTCAACGCACAAGTTTAGACCGGACGGGGGGGTCCGAAGGACGTATAAAAATCTAAGTTCTGACGTATAAATCTAATTCGTTTAGTGACCGGATACCGCAAATTCCCAGAAGAGGGTCTAGTACAATTAGCATTCGGGTGATTAGCAGTTTTGCGTGTTTTTGGGTGAATTTCCGGTTGCCTGGATGGGGAATGGGCTGCCTTCCCATTTGACCCCAGTCGCTCTTTTCTTCTGATGATTCGCCGCTCGCTGCTGCTCACGATGATCGGGCTCTTCCTCATCTCCGTCGTCATCTCCGTTCATGCCGAAACGATGCCGGACTCGGAACTGAGCAAGTCGTTAAGTCTATACCTAGAGAAAGGACAAATTGACGCCTAAGCCAGGCCTGGGAATGGGCCGGCCCGGGCCGGCCCGCCAGCCCATTTTTCTCGGCCCGGCCCGGTCCCACATTTTGGGTACCTTTTTACCAAACCATTATATGCCATCTATACTTCGTCGTCCCCCCGGGGGGATCCCCCCACGAGGGGGGACCAGGGGGGGGACTGCAAAGGGGGGATGGTGGGGGGACCCAGGGGGGGACGGTGGGGGGGACCACTGGGGGGGGATCCCCCGACTCGCAAGTGCGCGCAATGTGTGCAGGGGCGTAGCCAGAAAAAAATTTCGGGGGGGGGCCCCCAAAAAAATTTTCCAAAAAACTCAAAACATTGCCAAAAAGACAGCGCCGCAGGCAAAAATTTTTGAAAAAAAGGTTGCATAGCTCTACAAATAACCGTAAAAACGTGAAAAAATAGCGCCGCAGGCAGCAAAATTTTTGAGAAAATAAAAATCATAAGGGTCCCCCCTTATGAAATTTTCGGGCCCCGGCCGATTTCGGGGGGGCCGGGCCCCCGGGGCCTGTATTACGCTACGTCCCTGAATGTGTGGTTAGATAGATCTCAATACTTGTTAAAGAGCTGCTATTTTTGATAATTGAAAATACAGCAGCATGTGGTTGTCGAAAGTTCTGAAATGCCGAGAGCCCCAACGAGCTAATTTGCTCTAATTTTCAAATTTTTACAGTCTGAAAGATTTGAGTGCCCAGCCTTTCAATTATTTAAAATTTTGGGTTGGTATACACTCTGATTTTCCATCGATTCTCTGTCAGGTAAATCAGAGCTTTCTAGTATTGTTTTGTCGGGCGAGCTCGACCAGAATTTTCGTCATTTCCAGAACAGAACCAGCGGTACAGCCGTTTCGAGATTATATGGAAAGGGGCGAGAGACGCAGAGAAAAATATCTGCGCTCTCTCCCTCTGCCCACTCTTTCTATCCGGCTGTACCGGCTGTACTTTACTAATTGCCTATTACGGGTGCCAGAAAAACTGGGGGGGATCCCCCCACCCTAGTTGGTCCCCCCACCATCCCCCCCAGACGGTCCCCCCACCATCCCCCCTCCGGGGGATCCCCCGGGGGGGGACGACGAAGTATAATGCCATCATTTAATTTTTTCCGAGTCACAAAAACCTGTTAGATCAAGTCCGTTAATCGTCTATAGGCTTGCACAACCGATGGTTAGAGTGCAGTTTACCCCCCCAGCCCTAACTTTTCAGCCATACGTCCTATTAATGCGCCGAGTATCTCAAAATGTTCGCAGTGGTCGAATTACTATCAAAAAGTTGTTTTCTGGCGGCGAAAATTGCCAAAAAATTTTTTTACAAGATTTTGAAAGTTGAAAAGATTAAGCCGCTATGCTTCGATGTACTAGGAGCCTAAAACTCAAATATTTGTACTTTCCGCTATTTTTTCGGCTCAAACGTACTGTAGGCTTATTCTCCAGAGCAAGAGTTACATTTTGGTACTATTGACAGCTCTGTACATCAAAAGATAGCCGAGATACGAAAACTCACTTTGGAACAGCAAAAATTAACTAAAGAAAACACAGACTTATAATTGTTATAAAAATTTTTCTAACAATTTTTGATGTAAGAAAACAACTTTTTTATAGTAATTCGACCACGGCGCACATTTTGAGATACTCGGCGCATTAATAGGACGTATGGCTGAAAAGTTAGGGCTGGGGGGGTAAACTGCACTTAAGCCCAACCGATTTAGGTATGGTATGTAACGAGAATTTATTCATAAAGCAGTATACAACCAGTTACATCTTTAGTTCAATAGTAACAAAATCTGTCTTACTTTGTGGAGTTCAACTTCTTTGACGCCTACGTGTGGTTTGAACGCTAATAAGGCTAACAAGGCATATTCTCAGCATTTCTGAACATTTCCGGCCAAAAAAAGCAAAAAGCAAAAGGTTGACCTCGGCCGGGATCGAGCTCGGGTCGTTTTCCTGATAAATCAAAGTTAAGCTAAAACTCGAATTTTTTTCTTTTGAAAGTTTAGGCAGATCATTTAAGTTCAATCTTAATAAGAAAAACTTATAATGTAATTAAATTACCTCATTGAAACCCGATATAACTTATTGGCAAGGTGGCTGGCCGCCAGGCTAAAATCTAGAAAATCTCGGCGCTTGCCCGGCCCGCCAAATTCCCAGGCCTGCCTACCCAATTTGCATAAAATTAGCTTCTTTTTTTTTAATCTTCTTATCTTTTTGACCGCTACTAGCGGTCAAAAAGATGTTCCCTCGGGAAATCGTTTGGCTAAATTGCACTTTACGGTAACTAAATAAAATGTCGATTTTTCTATTGGAATCGATAGATCTCGTCGAGTTCTATCATTTCCAGTTGAAAAAACTATTGGGACTCGCTTCTAAAAAAAGTTATAAACATTTTAAATTGGCTAGTTCACTTTACGGTAACTAACTAAAATCTCGATTTTTCGACTGGAATCGATAGATCTCATCGAGCTCTTGCGTTTCCCGTTGAAAAAACGATTGGGACTCGCTTTTAACAAAAGTTATAGCTGTTTTAAACCAATTCACCCCGCATCGGAAAAGTCGGTTTCGGCTACGAGATACTCCTTTGTACGGAAAAAACGTAATAGTTGTGAACGTACTGGGTTACCGAATACGGGGTCGCCGCAAAAAGGCACAGGAAAAACTTTATTAGCACACGTTTTGCACTTCCTCCGAATTTCTGAATTTCTGAAACATCAAAAAGACGGTTTTGCAACAGGAGTCACGCAATTTGGATGGAAGTGACCGCTACATCCTCTGCTCTGCGACTAGAAAAAGGCTTCGTGCCACCGGGGGCCTAGTCGCTTCGGATGGGTGCGAGCTCGTACAGGGTTTCGAAATGGGGGCGCCAAGGCCGGCGAAGCGGCCGGGGGCGCCCCCATTTCGGAAGAGTGGAGCGGCAGCCCATCCGAAGCGACGGCCCGCCTTGCCTGACAATTTCACAGTCAAAAATGTCAAAAATATAGTGTAGCCTCCTCCGAACAACTTTCCCAAAGGTTTTTTCAGTTGTAAATGCAAGAACTCGACGAGATCTAATTATCCCAGGCGGAAAATCGCATTTTTACGAGGTTACCGTAAAGTGAACCAACCACTTTAAAACGTATATAACTTTTGTTAAAAGCGGGTCCCAATCGTTTTTTCAACGGGAAACGCAAGAGCTCGATGAGATCTATCGATTCCAGTCGAAAAATCGAGATTTTATTTAGATACCGTAAAGTGAACTAGCCAATTTAAAATGTTTATAACTTTTTTTAGAAGCGAGTCCCAATAGTTTTTTCAACTGGAAATGGTAGAACTCGACGAGATCTATCGATTCCGATAGAAAAATCGACATTTTATTTAGTTACCGTAAAGTGAAATTTTCCCAATCGTTTGGTGTTCGAAAACCACAGGCCCAAATTTTATGAAACTTTGCCTCTAGGACATCTTTTTGACCGCTACTGTACTACAGACACTGTTACCACAAGTTTTATAGTCCGGTATGACTGCAGCTTGACCAAGAAAGTGGACAATGTCGACCAGGACTGCACGTACAACCGGCGGAAGATTGCTGACGCTGACGCCCAGAGGATCTGGTTTACCATCCGCGACTTGCCCAAAGACAAATTGATCGTTTACCGTGGGTGGTCACGTGATAAGATCAGATATAGTCGGCGTTATGAAAGGCGGCTAATGTAAATCGGCATTATGAGAATGACCCGTATTTCTGACGTCTGTCAACATGTCAGGGTGCGGCCTTGCCGAAACGTTCTGCCTGTCAAAGAACAACACCCCGCTGGCCGATGAGAAGATTGGGTGCTATCAGTACCACGTCGAGGATCCTGGCTGCAACTGCCGTGAGGCTTTGACGAACGGCCACACACAAAACAGTTTCAGAGTTTGACGGGGACTTTACTTTCACACCCGGTACGCTTTTACTCTCTCTTTCTCTCTCTCTCTCTCACTCTCACTCTCAGTTTCGCTCACTCTCTCACCCACACCCTCGCTCGCTCACCCTTTCTCTCTCTCTCTCTCTCTCTCTCTCTCTCTCTCTCTTCCCATCAGCCAATTCCAGCGGATTCGGACGTGCTGGCCCTCTGGAAGCAGTACCAGAAGTCGCTGCGCCCCTTCCCCTGGGCGCCCTCTCCCGCCCTCGCTGACCCAGTTGGTTACTTGCTAGTTATACTGGGTGGTCCACAAATAAAAGTGAATTTTGCACTACAAAGGGTGACGGCCAGTTCGCCTAAATCCGTTTCGCCTAAACCCGTTTCGCCTAAACCCATATCGCCTAAAACCCGTTTCGCCTAAAACCCGTTTCGCCTAAAACCCGTTTCGCCTAAAACACGTTTCGCCTAAAACACGTTTCGCCTAAAACACGTTTCGCCTAAACCCATTTTGCCTAAATTATTGACCGTTTGCACTGCTGCATTTTTGACCAAAAAAATCACCATTTTTCGAAAGACTTCTAAGTGTTTTAGGATTTTCTAAACATAATTTTGCAAATTCCTTGTCAAAGACCACGTTATGAAGCCAATTACATAGCTGTTAATGAAGAATTTCAAGGAGTCTCTTTAAAATCTTACGAAACTATTATAAAGCTTTCGAAAATTGCCGACTTTTTGGTCAAAAATTTATATATGAAAATGACCAACATTTAGGCGAAACGGGTTTAGGCGAAACGGGTTTAGGCGAATTGACCGGAATTCCACTAAAATATCTCGCGGACATACACGAATCGGATCATCGTTACCTTGCCAGAATGCCTAAATATGCTGTGTATGAATGAATAACACAAGTTGTGCATGATGTTTGACGACCCACTATCCTACCTTATATAATTTTGGCGCGTATGTGTGTGTTTGTGTGTGTGGATGTCACTTTCGAGGCCCGATTTGAGGGCCTTCCCGTGCATAAAATGCCCTAATTCTCCGTCACTAGGAGGAATCGACCCTCCTTTTTCCGATGGCTTTTTCACAATCGTGATAAAATACGAGTTTACAAGGTTAAACCCGCTTTTATTCATTTTGTGTGTAATTTGCATTATGTGAAACAAATAGAAATTGCCGCATTCTTGCGCATTCTACACGCGCGTATGGTTTTTTCAAAAATAAAGCCCGCTAATTTATAAGCCTGAGAACAAAATAGGACCAAAATTAGTTTTTTACGGCTTACGATTTTACGTAAGCACCAGGGTTGAAAAGCCGCTTCGCGACTTTTCAACCCTGGCCTCGCTGCGGGGCTCTTTGATACACGGGCACTGCATATTATAATTTGCATTAATATTACGAATTACGTTAGGGAAAGGCACCACAGGAATTGCTTGAGCAACCGACTCGGAACCCCGCAAAGCCCAGAATGAGCCGGATTAATAGCCGTATGCAAATTAGTCTATTTCCATATGTTTTTAAATAGCTAAGATAAGGTATAAAACGTCACTTTAGTAAAAATCTGATAAGCGCGCAGTAATCTACGCCCTCGATTACCCCTAACCACTTTACTTCTGAATCATAAAATCCTCTTCCCTTCGCGTTACGGCTGGAACCCGGGTTTTTATGCAAAGTGTCCACACACACACAGAAACTATTTTTTTATATATATAGTAGGATATTCAAAACGCAGTTTTACGACTCATTAGTTATTTCCTTGCGCTATGCACGCTTTATTATCCAAATGACGTTTCTATAATAAATAAATACAACCAGGGTTGAAAAACCGCTTCGCGGCTTTTCAACCCTGGCCCCGTCTGACTCTTCAATTTGCATAATATTGCCCGAATTGCGAAGACAAAGTATGATAAGCGCCCCCTCCGTCCCTTTATATAGGCGAGCGCAACTTTCGGTGGATTCTAATTTTTCCTATCAAAGAGGCCGAGCGAGATTTTCACAAAAACCTATTTTTAATATCGAAAAGGCTCATTTTAAAAATTTTGATAGGTGTGCAGTCGTGTCATGACCATTACGCACCTAATGACGTATCATACATACCCCTAGCTTCTTCCTTTATTGAGATACGACTGGAACATACGGACGGAAGTTGCATGCAAATGCACACACACAGACACTATTTTTTTATATATTAAACCAGGGTTGAAAAGCCGCTTCGCGACTTTTCAACCCTGGTCCCGTCTTACCCCCATGCTTCATTACTTTGCATAAACTCCTGAATTCCTGTGCAAAAAATGAAAAGCACGTCCTCTCCCCCATTTTATAGGCTCTCCCCACTTCCGGTGTATGCTAATTGATTCCTAACAAAGTGGGTTCCCGAGATTTTCACAAAAACTTAATTTTAATATCGAAAACAGCTTATTTTCAAAAATCTGATAGGTGTGCAGTCGTCTCATGAGCATTACGCACCTAATGACGTATCATACATGCCCTTCACCTCTTCCTTTATTGAGATACGACTGGAACCTACGGACGGAAGCCCGCTTCGCGGCTTTTCAACCCTGGCCCCGTCTAGGACCGATGGGTTCTTTAGGATTTCCGGGGGGGGGGGGGAGAAACCAAATTTTTTTCCTGGTTTTCCCGGTTGACCTAGTAATCAGATATAAAGTGTTTTCACATTGTTTTTAGTAAATTTTAACTATATTTAAAGTAAAAAAACCTTTCAAAAAAGTTAGGAAAATGTTTGAAAAAGTCGAAAATTTAGTCATTTTGGGCCTTTCCCCCCCGCTAATCCTAAAGGTTCTATAGGATTTTTCGACCTAAAATTAAATTTTTTAATTAGAAAGTGTGTAGTTTTTATGCTCAGGAATAGTTAAAAACCATTTAGAAACGCATGCGCTATTTAGCAAAAAAATTTAGGCTTGGGCCGAAAAAATTTGGTTCCCCCCCTCCCCCCGGGAAATCCTAAAGAACCGACCGATGAAAGTCTTCAATTTGCATGCTTCTTCCCCAAAATCTATCAAGAAAAAAAAGTGAAAAACGGCTCCTCTGTCGCTTTATATAGGCTATCCGACTTCCGGCTTATGCTAATTGATCCCTAACAAAGAGGGTGGGCGAGAATTTTACAAAAATTTGTTTTTAATGGCGAAAATAGCAATTTTTCAAAGATTTTATGTGCGTGCAGTCGATTCCGGACCCTTCTTTACCTAATGACGTTTCTTCACTACCGAAAAATGCTTCCCTGAGGCTGTAGGTGCGGAACATCCTCACGGAAGTTGCAGGCAAATGCACACACACACAGACACTATTTTTTATATATAATCGGAGGATAAGTCATTAGATGCGTAATGGCTCTGGGATGACTGCACGTTTATCAGATTTTACAAAACTAATTGTTTTAAATATTAAATTTCAGTTTATGTAAAAATTTCGGCCACCCTCTTTGTTAGGAAACAATTAGCATGCATCGGAAGTGGCGGTAGCCTATATAATCAGGTAGAGAGTGTCATTTTTCATTTTTTCTCATCGCAATTCGGAAGAAATATGCAAAGCGAAGAATTTTATGGGGTTAGACGGGGCCAGGGTTGAAAAGTCGCGAAGCGGCTTTTCAACCCTGGTAAAAACCTTATTTTACAGAATTAACGAAAACCAGGGTTGAAAAGCCGCTTCGCGACTTTTCAACCCTGGCCCCGTCCACGTCCAATGACAAAAATACTTTGCATATTCTGCCCAAAACCCGCTGACAAAAATGGGAAATCTCCTCTGTAGCCTGATTTTATAGGCAATATCCACTTCCGGCGCATGCAAATTTTGTCTAACGAAGGTCCTTTCACAAAAACCTAAATTTAATGTCGAAAATAGTAAATTTTGAAAAATCTAATAAGTCGGCAGTCATCTCCACTCCATTACGCATCAAATGACGTATCAAACATGTCGGAAAACTTCATCCCTGACCCGTTATGAGCGGAACATACATCCGGAAGTGGATGCAAATATACACAGACACACACACTTTTTTTTATATAAGGTTTTTATAAGCATTTTTCTAAAAAATCCTTAACAAAATGGTCAAATGCCGTGGTGTCCGGGCCATAACTCGAAGCTCAGATGGAATTTCGGGCTGTAATTTGGGGCCGCGAAGCGGGTTTTGGGCGCTGGTAGCAGGATAGAAAACTTCGCACGGAAAGGCTGAAACTTTGCTTGTTTATAGAAAGTTCGCTTCGCTACTCCTATGCAAATTTTTAGCTCCGTGGGCGTCCTCGGGCGATATTTTTTTTTGGGGGGGCAAGGGTCTTTTTTTGGAACACCCTGTATAATTTCAGCCGAGCTGCGGTACCTACGAAGTGCCCGATACGACTGCGTCCCCCTCAAATTCCGCCTCCTGCTCTTCGTGGCCCTCTTCGCCCCTGCTCCTCTCCGCCAACATTATCCTCGTCGTCCGCTTCATGTTCCCATAATTCGATATTAATTGGTGGCGATAAAGTACTACCTTGTATAATTTTGGCGTGTATCTTTGTGTGTGTGGATGTCAGTTTCGAGGCCCGATTTGAGGGCCTTCCCGTGTCCAAAACGTCCCAATCTTACGTCACGTGGGGGAATCGACCCTCCTCTTCCCGATGGCGTTTTCAGAATTACCATAAAATTTCAGAAATTTTATGTTCATTTCAGAATTCATAAATTTCAGAATTCAGAACATTTTGAGATATTCGGCGCATTAATAGGACGTATGGCTGTGGAGCTGGGCTGGGGGGGGTCAGCTGCACTTAAGCCCCCTTCCCTTTCTCGATTTCGGTTCCTTTCCTGGGTTCTGTTCTATTTCGCGTGGGGGAAAAAACTGTGCGGGGGGGGAATTTTCTTCGTTTTTTTTTATAACTTTTTTATATGATGCTATTTTGAATTGTAATTAAAGCTCTTAGTATTTTTTTTGACGCTCTATCGAATGGCATTAAAGACATTTTTGAAAGTTATCGAAAATGTCGAAAACTAGCTTTCGACTCCACGATCCCATGTGGAAACACCGTATAAACCTTGTTTTTGCTATAACTATTTTATAAAACAATATTTTTAGATGAAATTAAAACTCTAAGTATATTTTTTTGATGCTCTATCGAATGACGGGTTCAAAATATCGAAAAACTGGCGAAAAGGCCGAAAACTAACATTTCGGCACCAGTTTCAATAGTTTTTTTGTTTTTGCTAGAACTTTTTTATATTACAATATTTTTAGCTAAAACAAAAAGTCTTAGTATATTTTTTGATGCTCTATCGAATGGCGTTGCAAAAATCCCGAGAAAATAGCGAAAAGATGGAAGGTTCCGCGAAGGATATTTTCCCCCCCGCACAGTTTTTTCCCCCACGCGAAATAGAACAGAACCCTTTCCTGGTTGGCTCATTGGTTTAGCGTTGGCTTGCCGCGCACAAGGACCGGGTTCGACCCCCGGCCATGATAAGGTTTTTTTGCTTTTTAATAAAAAGAGCGGGTCGGCTTTTTCATAAAAAACCAGGGTTGAAAAACCGCTTCGCGGCTTTTCAACCCTGGCCCCGTCCAGGACCTGTGAAAGTTCTTAATTTGCATGTTTCTTCCTGAATTCTAGCAAGAAAAAAGTGAAAAACGGCTCCTCTGTCCCTTTATATAGGCTCTTGCTACTTCTGGCGCATGCTAATTTCCCCTAACAAACAGGGTTTTACAACAACCTATTTTTAATAGCGAAAACCGCAATTTTTCAAAATTTTTATGTGTGTGCAGTCGATTCCGGACCATTCTAAACCTATTGTCGTTTCTTCCCTATCCAAAAAAACCCTTCCCCGAGGCTGTAGGAGCGGAACATCCAAACGGAAGTGCATGCAAATATACACACACACACACAGACACTATTTTTTTATATATAGTAGGATCCGGCTTCGACCTGCCCCCCCGGCCATGACAAGACTTTTTGCTTTTTCATAAAAAGCTGGGCGTTGGATGTTTCTTTAACGTGCGTTATTACCAGGGATAGTCAAAATATAAATAGGTGCGGAATTTCGTGTGTTTCACGATGTTTCACGATGGCCCCCCTGCAAATTCCCCGGCGGCGGTCAGCTTTGACGTTGGAGAGATGAGCCCCGGCGAGGCCCCTGATTGTTTTGTCTTTAGCGTGCCTTTCGTGGTTATAAGCCACCCCCCCTCCCCCCAAATCATTCACATTTCACAATTCCCCCTTGGTGCCTTCCGATTTGCGTCGATTTTTGCATTCTGGACTGTTAGCGGGGGGGGGGGACTTAGCAGGGGGAAAACCACCTTGTGTTTTTCCACGTATATGCGGTGTTATATTATGCATTTTATCGAGTTTTTAGTAGCTTTTGATTGCTAGAAAGCTATAAAAGATATTTTCAACTATTTTGTAAATTCGCAAATTTTGACCTTTTTGGGAATTTTTCACACATTTTTGCCCAAAAACCCAAAAATTCTCGAAAATTTTCTAGTTTTTTATATTCTTTTAATGTTTAACAACTATGTTAAACTCTATAAAATGGTTTATATTTAATGCTAGGACTGTAGGAAAACACATGGAAAATTTGGTCCCCCCTGCAAAAATCCCGCCCCCGGCTAATAGTCCAGAACCAAATTTTGCAGAGCCTCTGCTGATCGTCGTGAGTTTTGTGTAAACTAAATGAGGCCCGCATCCCAGCCACTCTTCGCCCTGACCATCGGCATCCTGGCCCTCCGGCTCCAAGCCAAGCCACCCCGAAAACCGCGTGAGTGTGCTCGCTTTGTATTTCCAAGGGTCATTCTTATTACGGTACCAGCGCCCAAAGCCCGCTTCGCGGGCGTTTCGCGCTGAAAGCCAAAATTATGTAGGGTGGGAAACTTCCTATTAATCATCGCTTCAATATCCGTTCAGCCGGTCGACTATGCCCACCCACAAGCCTCGAGCCGAAGAATTGCGCGCAGAACTGGGCCGGAATAGGTAGCGACCATGAATCCGTGGTCCTCCATGATGAAATGCAGGGGATATTATACGGTAGGATAAGGTCTTTCTCTCTCTATCTCTCTCGCACTGTCTCTCTCTCACTCTCTCTCTGTTTCTCTCTGTCCTTCTCTTTCTCTCTCTCTCTCTCACTTTATCTCTCCCCTCTCTCTCTCTCTCTCTCTCTCTCTGTTTCTCTCTGTCCTTCTCTTTCTCTCTCTCTCTCTCTCCTTTTCTCTCTCCTCTCTCTCTCTCTCTCTCTCTCTCTCTCTCTCTCTCTCTCTCTGTTTCTCGCTGTCCTTCTCTTTCTCTCTCTCTCTCTCTCACTTTATCTCTCTCCTCTCTCTCTCTCCCCTCTCTCTCTCTTTCTCACCCTCTTTCTGTTTCTCTCTCTCTCTCTCTCTCTCTCTCTCTCTCTCTCTCTCTCTCTCTCTTCTCACTCTAAAACCCACTCTCTGCTCCCTCTTATATCGCCTTTAGTGTGTCCCAAGGCCACGCTGCCCTGCGTTACCCTACAGCATCCGGTCGACGGGGTGCTCCGACCGGGGTGTTACGCTGGGGTTTTGTCAGATCAGCAGCATCGTTGCCGTGAGTTATTTCTTTTCTATGCAATGACTTTATTTCCAGGTGGCAAGTATGACTGGGGGTCTCTGGAGGAGCCGGAAATGTGGATGGATAGTAAGTTGATTTTAGTGGCTTATTTACATTCTTCCTAGATTCATTTTTCCTAAAAATAGCTTTTCCTAAAAATCGTTTTCCTAAAATTTGGGGTGCCTAAAAATACCCAGAAAGGCCAAGAGTTGTCATTTTCCGTTATCAAGGCTTTTAGTTAGCTTTGATCAAAGTTTTTTCTGATTTTGGTTCTTTAGGATTCGCTGGGGGGCGGGGGGAACCAAATTTTTTTTCGGCACTGGCCTAGATTTTTTTCTAAACTGCGGATGTGTTTCTAAATTGTTTTTAGCTATTCCTGAGCATCAAAACTACACACATTTTAACCAAAAAAAAATTTAAAAAAATAAAAATTAGGTCGAACAATCCTATAGAACCTTTAGGATTCGCGGGGGGGAACCCAAAATGACCAAATTTTCGACTTTTTCAACCCCCCCACCTGGAATCCGAAAGAACCTTAATTTTTATTGGCGCGTTTTCACTTCCAACATAGTTAAACCTAGGCTAAACGCACTACTCAAATGCTTACTATGACATTGTTAGACAGATCTGAGTTTATTAAAAAGCTTTTTAGATTTCTTCATGCAGAATAAAAAGCTAAGGCCTTTTCGATATTAGCCGGTTTTAGGAAAAATGAGTTTTGAGAAAAGTTCTTTAGGAAAAAGATTTTTAGGAAAATGACAGTAATTCGTTTGTAGTCATTGATTGGGGGGGGGATGGGAAGAGAGGGCGGCCATAGCCAATCAGTTTCAATAGTTTTAGGCTAATCAGTTGAATTTAGTCGCGCCGGAATTGCTCAACATGATGCGCGGGCAGACCACCACGTCCGCCTCCTCTGCCGCCTCCTCGGCCACCCCCGCCCTGTCGACGACCACCCGATCGTCGTCGTCCTCGGCCACCCCCGCCCTGTCGACGACCACCCGATCGTCGTCGTCCTCGGCCACCCCCGCCCTGTCGACGACCACCCGATCGTCGTCGTCCTCGGCCACCCCCGCCCTGTCGACGACCACCCGATCGTCGTCGTCCTCGGCCACCCTGCCTGTTTGGTCAACCACAACCACAACCACCCCGCCTGTTGCGACCGTGAGTTCCGCCGCGATGTGCAAAATTTGGAAAATGGGGTTTTTGTTAAAAACACTTGCCTGGGAAAAAGCATCGAAATTTCAGCGAATTTTGCAAAATGTTAGTAAATTTTATCGAAATTCATGAATTGGAAAATCGCAGAGCTCCTCAGCTCGTCGAGAGCTTCCGATAGATAGGGGTAGATCCGATAGGCGACTATAGTCTCGATTTTAGGGTACATGCATCTTTTCAGAGCGGGACCACTTGGGGCGGCCCCAACATGGTGACGATCCTGATCATCATCTGCCTGCAACTAATTTTCGCTCTTTAAAATCTGTTCGGAATAAAGAGATTTTTTGTTAAAAGAGCGTCCGACGTTCCGCAAAACAATCGCCGTCGCCACGTCGCGTCAGTTTGTACAAAGCATCAGTCTGCGAAAATGGGCGCGTCGAAACGGGATCACAACTCTTTGGCAATGATGGGAGAGGAGCAGCGAAAAGCTTCTTGGGATCCGCATTTCCTGCCACCTTCAGTTCTTCGGGCAAGAGTCTAGGGTACTATCTCACAACCAGCCGCTTCCAGCGGCCTCGCCGCTGCAAAACTTCGGGCTACCCTCTGCGCGCCCTCCCCTTGGCCGAGACGCGTGCGACCTGGCTCACTATGTCCGAAATCGGGCAAACCTCCGTCCCCCTTGCTTTTATTAAGGCCAAAACTTCAAATTTAATTTTAATAATTTAAGTTAAAACTTTTTGATAATTTTTTTATCAGCGTGGGGGTTTCTGACGACGCTCTATCCGAATCCGAAGAGAGCTAAGCTCTAGCTCCTTTCCCCTTCGAGTTGAATTCGGGACATGACGGACAGACAGACACCTCAAGAAAATTATTATCTCAAAACAATGTTCGCCGTGGTCGAATTGCTAACAGAAAGGCGTTTTCTGACGAATCCACTGACTGTGGCCAGGATTTCTCTCAACCCCCGGGGCGGGTAAAATTGTACTCCTATAGCTACTATAGCCACCAGGAAACACGCTCCTCGCAGAGTCACATAGGGTCCAATTTTTCACTCGGCGGCGCTCATACTAAAGTGGGGCTCTCTTCTACCAAGCATCCGTGCACAGAATTGGGCCATCTCTAACTGCTGGGGCATGGCGAAAAACTATGGACATGTATATATGAAAATGATCGCCTTGAGCTGCTCTATCCGACTACGTAAAGCAAATTGGCATTAAAAGTATATTCAAAGAGTTAGAGGCAAAAAAGCAATTGTTCATAGTAAAATGGAGGTTTCTAGAAAATTCCTCAACGCTCCGGGGATGGAATCGCCTACGAGAAATGCAAATTTCAGCTGTTGTTGACCCCTCTGCATCAATAAAAGCGCTCTGCGAAGTTGCCAACTCGTTTTCTAGGCTTCGGAAAAGAAAAATCCCAATACTTTTGTCGTCGAGATTTACGAAATTTTTTTGTAATTTTTTTCGTACTATGGAGTGGCCTGTTTTAGCAAAAATGCATATAAAAAAGCATCTCGAATTCTACTGGAGACCCACTTTTGAGCCCACCTCGAACTAAAAATCCCGAGATTATGTCAAAAAATCCCACTACTTTTGTCCGCTACTGTATGGCAGAAATGTTAGGGCTGGGGGGAGTTACCTAGATTTCAGCCATTCTTCACTGTTGCTTGTTCTTCGCCGTCCGGGGCTTTTTTTGAGCGTTGCAACCATTTTTTGCTTTTGCGGATCTTTTTCGCGCTCTTTTCCTCCTGATTCATGTGAAGTCATTTTTGCAGGCGATAATTGTTGGGGGGGGGGGGGCGAGAGGAGATGACGTGTGTCCTCATCGCTCCGCCGCCGCCGCCGTAAAAAAACTAGGGAATATGTGTGTGAGGCACGAGGACGCATCGTACACTCATCCCTCCCGCTGACGAGCGGCAAAATGCTGAGGGAAAACGGTTTAATTGGCTTGGTTTAATTGGGGAACTAATGCCAAACTTACAGGGTGCCCAAAAAAAGAACCATTTCGCCGTGCTACATACATAAAGTCGGCCACAAAATTGTACCAGAGGTGGAGCAGACCCTAAATAACAACAATCCTGACTTTTAGCCCTGTAGCTACAGTAGCTCTCGACTAATAGCGAAAAAATGGTTAGAATTGCGGGAAATTTCGAGCTTTTTGTGCAATAAAACAAACATCCTTTACCCACAAGACCCGGTTGATACAACCCTAATTCATGTGTTGTATACGCCGGGGAAATCGGCTTTGGGGCAGTTCGAGAGCTTTAATTAAAGTGTTGAAGTTGGCTTTTTAGCAAGAGTTTGGTTCGAAACAATGTACACAGGAGGGTAACGTAGCCCTAAAATTTCCATTTTTTTTAACTGCCGCCCATGCAATGGGATGCAGTTGCTGTGCGCTGGCACCACGTTGCGATAAGCCGGCTTCTCCCGTGACTAGATACATTTTCGTACTTTCTGGATTCTATACAATTTTTGGACATTTTTAATCCCACTTTGAGTTATTAAAAAGCAACAAATTTTATAGTGTCGAAGTTTAAACGCGAAGATCCCCCGAAAACCCTCAAACCCTACGAAAAAATTTCGAAATTTCCATTCTAAATTTTCGGCAATACGAAATTTCGAAATTATGAAATTTCGGCATCATGAATTTGGACGGTCTGTTAGCAAATTTTAAATTTCGGCTATTTGATGTCTCTTTTTCATGACACTCGATATGAATTTCAGATATTATCATACCAGTCGTTTTTGCCGACTACAACATGTCGTACTCGATGCTCACCGCCAGCTTCCAGCCCGGAAACGGGACATATTATTGCGTCTTTTTGGACGACCCATCGGGGATTATCACTGCCGAGCTCGATCCAGCGAGTTTTGAAGAAAAAAAGCCAATACCAACATGGTCAACGATCGCGGAGACCGGAGAACGGACCGCGGTCGGGCAGACAAGGTATTGGGGTTTGGGAATCGCGTGTTAAGGTACCGTACTTGGCTCTAATAGAAGCTTATCAGAGGGTATATTTTTTTTAATCACCCCGTGGGATGTGGGCCGTACCATAGGGTTCGATATATTTTTCGCAAATTTGGGCGATTACAACGGTGACAAAGCATTTGTTTTTGATTTGAAAACCAGGCGCTACATTTGTCTAGGGAGTGCAAGCCGGATTTTCTCAAAAATGCGCATGAACGGCCTACAAGGGGTCCCAAGCGTAACTTCGAAACGCAAAATGAATTGTTGATGTGGGTTTAGAACTTGTGCGTGGATCGCAAAATAATATTCGGTGTCGCGCCACGCTTACTGGTGGTGTGGAGAGGCCAGAGCGACTCATCCCCCCGGGGTCACGATCTCAACTCACCCCTCACCGAGGTCCAAAAATGCCGTTTTTGGTTTTCTTTGCTGTATGAAATCGGCAATGGCCATTCCGCAAAAAGGAACATCGGGAGCTTGTTCAGAATTCAATTCTCTATCGAATGATCTAGGTAGCGAAAGATCTTGCCGATGACTCCAAAAAAGCACTCGTTGTAAGCAGAAACGTTTTTCGCTTCTTACATTAGATGCCACTTTCAAAAAAACTCTAAATCTGGCGGGTCTATTTGAAGAGGGAAAATACGGTCATTTGAGGTATTTTTTGGCCTCAACTACGGAAAACTACAAATTAGACCTGTGCTTTTCAGCTCTACCCGGAAACTGACCGTCTCCCCGATGCGAGTGCTCGAAATTGCCGACGCATGCGGGTTTGAGGTGATTTATCGTTCTGAATGCTTGTAGTTATTTTGCAGCTCCTACTGAGAGTTTTGTGATCGTTTAAATTTTCAGGTAAAATCCAGTCCATGGAGTCCATCTAAAGACGGCACTGCGGCGTATTACTCGTGGGAACTTTATAAGCCTAGACCAAGGGAGCAAGGGGGGCACGAAACTGAACACTAGAAACAATCTTGATTCTAATTAGTTTTCCTAAATTATTTTCGAGCGTATCTGGCTGTCAACTGTACTCTGTATTTTGTTGTCATTTTCGCGATTCTGATAGGTATTCTTGAAACGTGTGCTCCACTTTATTGAATAAATTTTTTTGCACTCGTTTCGGGACAGCAAGGTTTTTTAAAACACTGGCCGCTTGCAAGAAAGTCGATAAGCCTCTTCTCACCGGCAAAACAGATAACGTTTCCTTCAAATCGAAATTTTCGTGCTTTTACATTTTCTATATATTTTCAATTTTTGTTGGTTCCAGCAAAACTGATTATGTGGGGAAAACTAAGACCCTAGGTCAACCACAAGTCATGCCGACGCACCACGCGCTGCTGGTCGCCATCTACGACGAGCACTACGAGTCGAAGAAAACCTTCCTTTCCGACGATCCAGACGATAAGCTATATTACGCGATGAAGGCAAAAGATGCTGAGCTTGGGGGTCGACTGTAAGGGAATTTTTTATGGTAGTTTTTGCTTTCCTAATTCCAAAATCGCTGTTTTTTTAGCTTTAAAATGCCACGGGGCTCCTGACTCACGACTTTTCAGTTACCTGAACGTCTCCCCGATGAAGGCGCTGGCCCTCGCGACACAGGCTGGATATCAGGTAATTCTGAGCACTGATTGTAGTATCATTTTAAGTTTATTCCGAAATCTTAAAAAATCAACTATAAGAATCTTGTTGCGGTCTCTGCGTGGCTGAAGCCGAATTCAACTCGAAGTGGGAACGAGCTACTAGAGCTTAGGTCTCTGCGGATTCGGATAGAGCGCGGTCAGAAATCCCTAAACTGATCAAACACAGAAATTAAAAACTTCCTTTTCATCGATTTTAGTAATTCGTAGTAAAACGGCTATTTGCACGATTTTGGGCATAGTGAGCCAGGTCGCGCGCGTTTCGGCGAGCGAGAGTGCCGGGGGGGGGGCAGCCCGTACTCCAGCCGCTTTAAGCGGCTGGTAATATTACAAAGATATAGCTTACTCTCTGGTGTTCCATTCCAGATCTCTGGGCCAACAAGAATGGAGGACAAGGTGATGTGTTGGCAGCTCACCCTAACCGCCTAACTTCTGTTCGATTTGATTTTTCAGCTATTTGTCTAAATTAATCAATGGTTTTTTTGATTATTCGATGAAAATAGCATTTTCATGATTGGTCAGCAATTTTCATTGGCTAAGGGACTTTGAGATACCTAGAAATCAAGAGTATGCGCTCACATGGTAACTAAATCCGTTGACCAAGCATGTGCGTCATTTTTATGTGCCCGGCGTGCAGGTCGTGTGTTGAAATAATTGGTTTTCGAGGGCTATTGGCGATGAATCACCAAAGAAAGCGCCCGCTATTCACTCTTATCTGCGACTAAAGGCCGACACGAGCCAAGACGTCAACCCCAGCCACGTACGCCCTGAAACGGTTTATAAGAACAGGCGAATGCCAAAATATGTCAGAAAAATGTTCCGTCATTTTTTTGTCATTCATTTTATTACCATTGAATTTATCTATTGCCCTAATTTCCCAACTTTTCCCTGTTCCACAATTTTCAAAAAAGGATTTTTAGCGTTTCAAAAAAATGCCGCACGCCTTGCTGACCGCTTACTACAACCAAAAGACCTCGGAATATAGCAGCATTTATTTGGACGACCCGTCTGGCATTATCACCGCCCAGCTACGCCGTAGTGATTTCAAGGAACAAAAACCAGGGTTGTAAGTTGTTCCCTTCGGTTTGTTCGACTTTAAACGGGTTGTCCTCCCACTGGTTGGCAAATAAATTAGAAAAAGACCATATCTAAGAACACCAGTTGAAAAAGACCGCTTCGCGGCCCTTTTTCACTGGACCCCGTCCAGGAACTGAATTCGAATACCTACTTTTTTCTACTTGAACTGGCCTGCGGCGCCAGAGCCAGCGTTGCGCTACAAGAAACTTTGAGCCTGCGGGGCTAGTTACTGGCTTTTCTGCAGGATTTGGCCTACGGCGCGAGAGGCTGCGCCAAGGACCTTTTCTTTGGCCTCCGGCGCTAGAGCGAGGCCAGGCCTAGGGCGCCCGAATGATCCTGGGAGGGAGACCTTCTGGTCACTTTACAAAATTCTATTTTCGAGTCTGAATACGCTGAAAATTTTTAAAGATAATTTCCAAATTACACACCGAAATTTCATCTGGGCTTCGAGTTATGGCCCGGACACTACGGCCAGTAGCCCACTTTGCTAACGATTTTTCACTTTTTTGTTTGCGAAATCGTTAAATCCAGGAATTTCGAAAAAAGAAAGATCGAATTTCTGTATGGCCTTTTTCTCGGCCTGCCGGCCGAGAAAAAGGCCATACAGAAAACAGGCATACCGTTTTCGCCAATACTAGGATTCGATATGAAAAATAGGATACATCCCATTCCTTGGATTTAATATTTTGCTTTTTCTTCTTCGAACTGCCCTGATTGGAGCCGTTCAATGGCGCGGAAGCTGTGCATTTCCCCGATGCAGGTGCTGAACATTGCAGAAGAGTGTGGCTTTGAAGTGGGTTATTTTCTGCGTCATTAAATTCATGATATAGCAGGCTCAAAATTAAAAATCTAATTTTAGCTAAGATCCGCACCTCCCCGACCAGGTGATTACCACATCTTATATTCTTATTCGTGGCAACTGCACAAGCCGGTGGAGAAGAGCTAACGTTACTCAATCGCGTCTACTCCTGGGGCTCTTTCATAATGTCGAAATTTACATACGCTGATTTTTCCGGAAAACGCCCGAATCCCATGCAAAAAAATTTCGACAATATGAATTTCGACATAATGATTCTCGACATTATGAAATTTCAAAATGTTGAATTTCTACATTCTGATTTTCGACATTATGATAGCTTGAAACGTGCATAATACATATTAATAAGCTGCACATAATGAGAATTGCTTCGTTTTGCCGTGTATTGGAGGTTGATTACTTTGTATCAGTCAATAAATATTAATGGAACCACCAAAAATCACTTACCATAATTCCTAGCACATCGGAAATTTTAAAAAACGGGAACAATCTTCTTTCCGGCGCTCATGTATCGACAAGATCGAAACGTGCTTTTTTCAAGTGATGATTCACGCCGATTTCACTGCCATATCATTTCCGCCACGCGTTTCAAGCTTTTGAACTGGCCTAAGATACCATTTGGAGCTCTACGCTTCGATCGGACGCCCCAAGGCCTTTCTGGTCGATTTTTATCATTTGACGCCCTTTTGTCTTCGGCATCTTCGGGGCATTTTCTAACGGTAAAAACCAAACCGCACTCTCCTACTTGATAATAATTCTACATAAGCATTTTCGTTCATACTAGCGCCGAGAACTCGGAAAATTTGAGAATGCCCTACGCTCTTCTGACGGCTCGCTACAACTCGGCACAAGGCAGCTACGAATGTGTGCATCTTGACGATCCGTCTGGACTGATTTTGAACCGCTTCAACACTGAGGAAATGAAGGCGCGGAAGAGATCGGGGTATTTTGCTATTTTCTCTTTTAAAAAAGCGCTGCTTAGCTTTTCTAGAAACTTTTCGTTAGCTTCAACAACTCAAATGGCTATTTTAGTGACCCAATCAAGCTCTACACCTCACCACTGATCGTTCTAAACGCGGCTGAAGAGCTGGGATTTGAGGTACAGGAAGGAGTGAGAATTTGCAAACTTCTTTCCAGCTACAATCCGGGCCGCCAAGAATTTCGACGGACGCCATAATACTGACTTACTCCTGGCATCTCTACAAAGATTCCAAGCCGCTTTTCACACTTTCTGCTCATTGATCTGGGAATTTTCGATAAAAATTAAACCTGGCGAGCGTGGACAAATGAATTTAATGGCCCAAGGACGATAACGTATACCTTTGCGCGAGTTTGAAGAAAAGTTAATTAGGATTGAGACTCTTTCTTTGATTGGTGCCTTTCACCTTGCAAGCGCGGTTAATCAACATGTACCTCGCCAACCACCAGAAAAAAAAAAATGGCGAAGCCCCAATCATTCCAATTTTCCCATGCCTTTGATTTATGAGCCGTTTGCCAATATCCATTTCGGAATCGGGTCCCCACGATAGATTCACCCATCCGACTCAAAAATGACAAATTGAGCGACAACTGGCCAGGTCTCCCACGGACAATTAGTTTTCGATACCTTGATCAACTACAAAAATACGGTACGGCGCCGAAGCAGCCATATTTTGGAGATGTTCCTAAAAATTGCTCTCCTGGCCCTGGGGCTGCTTGGTTCGTCGCTATAGTCGTTTGCCAAAGTTTTTAGGTCCCGTCCGCTCGATTCAAGTATGCCCGGCCTCGGCGTGTCCTGCCGGCGGGGCTTGGACCGCTTGGAAGATCATATCGAGCTGCACTGCGACTTGCGGTATGAATGGGCTTCGCGTTGAGACGCGCGAGTGCGTGTCGGAGAAGTTCGGATGTCCTTGCAAGTAAGAATTTCTCAAAAATACTTCTATTCTGCCTTTAGTGGATCAGTATCTCGCATAGCCGCTTGCCCGGATCCGATGTGCACGTTTCCAAACGCCACATGCGCTGACGGCTTTGCCAAGGTGAGCTCATAATCGAATCGACTATAAGACCAAGCTATTTTTTTAAGAAACTGAACACAACGAGCAAAGGCTACACTTGCCAAGCGGTCAACGCCACCACAGATGACGTGCCGAATCCGAGCTTCACTTGCGATAGTAAGAAACTCTGATGAATACGACACCGATTCATCTTTAGGGACCGACACTATCCCCTGCCCGCGAGTACCAGCTGCTGGTAAGAATTCAATCAGCAAAAACCGCGGCGAGCTTTGGCAAGAACGTGAATGCTTTTTTTAGGCATCTGGTCGGCCTGGACGAACGTGGCCGGAAGCGTTTGCACAGAAACTTGCGGAAACAAGGGAACCGTTCCCCAGATGCGCACCTGCCTGACCTCGAACGTCCAGAATTGCACGTCAATTTTTTTTTGGCAGCGGCAGATTCTTTCTCTTTCAGTGGTAGCGCGACCAGGACAGCGAAATGCCCTGCACAACCTTGCCCAACAGCGCCACAATGCCTCCTGAATAGCCCCATTGTGACCATGGGGTCTAGACTGTAACGAGTCCTATTTAGGTAATATTTACGGTAGACGGTGAACGAGTGGATCGGTGTGGATATGAGATACCTGAACAGGAAACGCCATGCTTTCCGGCTGGGTGTAATGGTGGGTCGAGAACACGAGGAGTTCAGAGAGTTTCCAGGCATGGAATTTTCAATAGATTCTACAGTAGCAGGAAAGCTTAAAACAAGCCGTATTGTAGCGATCACAACCACAACCACAACCACGACGACGACGACGACGACGACAAGAACACCACCCACAACCGTGACTACCACAACAACGAGAGCGCCACCCACAACCGTGGCGACGACTACGACTACCAGAGCACCACCCACAACCGTGACTACCACAACAACGAGAGCGCCACCTACTACAAGGACGCCCACAACGAAGCGAACTACAACGGTAATCTACCAGCTTATTTATTTAGTAGTTTTACTCGATAGCGAATGGGCTTGCCAGCTAAGGGGGTCAGGTGAGAGGCAAACAGTAAAAAGCAAAAAAGCAAAAAGCAAAAATAACGCTTGTTCATTTTTTTACAGGAAGCTGCCACCAATGACGGCGAGCCAACCACGAACGCAAATTACGATACGAGCCCGAGCAACGATAACGAGCCAACCACCGACGTAAACTACGATACGAGCGCGAACCCGGATGACGAGCCAACCACGGAAGGAGACTACAATACGGTCAGTCGCAATCGAGCTATTCAGTAAGCGAATCACGGACCCTTCAGCAAAAAAACTTGACATTACAGGACGACAATATCGAGGCAACGACGACGGGTATGTTTTTTTTATACACTCCCTAATCGTTGTCAGCGACTCATTTCTTGTTTCTTCTTAATTTCTGATAAGGATCTACATTCAAGAAAGTGGGAAAAATAGTTTTATCCGATATCTTTTCAGCACTCCAAGTCCGGGCCGACGGTGAGTTGAACCTATTAACTTTTCTGGTAGACACTGAATTTTCGGGCGTTTCCAAAGCTATAAAAATCACGAATTTAGCGGTCTGCCTCATGGCTCCTCTCGCGATAGGCGACTCCTTCAGTCTGAACACCACACTCACCCAGGCTAACGTGAACACAGGACCCTTCTTTTTAAAGTAAGTGCTAGTGCTGAGGCTCAACAAAAGACGATAGCTTCGAGGTGATGCTCTATGGTGAGGGCGGAACAAAGAGTAACGCGACGGTCCCGATCATAATGTTGACCTCGTCGGACGGCGCCTATTCGATTGTTTGCCCTCGAAGTAAGTCAGTTCATTTTCTACTGACTTTTTTCATCAGCTGGCGCAATACCTGTCGACGATTTTGTGGAGGAACAGATGACGTTGACGTTTACGTAAGAAAGAGTTGAGACAAAAGTAATGATATAGGCGCTCTGCGGAAGACACTATCACGATGGTGATTGACTCTCCATTGCTCAATGAAACCTGCACGGCGGGGGTATACCCTGACTTTGTGCTGCAGTTTGTTTATGTAAGCGCATGGTTGTTTGCGGCCGATGTTTTTCAGTTTGTAACGTCGAAGCCGGTAGTCTTCTCGGTCCCTACCACAAAACCTGTGAACGATACATGCCCGGTGAGTTGAAAGAAGCTCCGTTGGCTTGTGGAGAGTCTACACGAGCGTACACAAACGTTGAGTTAGAAGCGGAGTTCGACAGTGCTTAGCGTACAGTTTTTGTTTTCAGGGCTCGTCCACTACCCTAGCATCTTTGCTTCCCAGCACCACTTCCGGCTCGGAGCTTGACCCCACCACCAACCAGTGATGACGCAGACGTTATCGGCGTTGTAAAGCGCAGGATAAATATTCTGTTTTTGCGGTTCTGCTTTGTAATAAAGAACGCTACCCTAGAAAGGGTCGCAAAGAAAATACACCACGACTTACTCTCAATAATTTCTGAAATTTTATTTAGACCTGTTCGCCCTTTATTAATGATATCGCCCCGGCGATCGTAACCGGACCAAAATTCCAAAAATTTGCCAACCTCGCATAAACTTCGAAAACTCAAACCATTCAAATTTTCCCGTTGCTTCTGATTTATAAACGTCTTGCAAAACATGCAACTAACGATCGGGTACCCTCAATAAATCGGCCACTTTTGGGGCGAAAAATGAAAAAATGGCATGTGGCAAACGGCCCTCCGAAATACCAGGCACCCACAATAATTCAGATGGCTCCCGTGAATAAAACTGACAAATTGGTCGGGTACGACCCACTTCCCCAAACAGAATCAATTTTCGACACCTTGATTCCGTACATAAGTAAGCTACCCTTGGAAGTCATTACATTCTGGAGATGTTATTAAGGATTTCTCTCCTTGCCCTGGGGTTGCTAGGTAAGGTAATGTAATCACTTGCATAGGCTGCTTAGGTAGCGTTGGCTCGATTCAAGTATGCCCGACCTCGGCATGTCCTACTGGCGGGGCTTGGACCGCTTGGAAGATCATATCAAGTTGTACGGCGACTTGTGGTATGAATGGGCTTCGCGTTGAGACGCGCGAATGCGTGTCGGAGCCATTTGGATGTCCTTGCAAGTAAAACCTTTTCAAGAACGCTTCTAAGCTACCTTTAGTGGAGCAGTATCTCGCCTAGCCGCTTGCCCCGATCCGATGTGCACCTTCCCGAACGTCACTTGCGCTGACGGCTTTGCCAAGGTGCTCGATGATTAGCATAGACTTACTCAGGGTAATTTCTTTAGAAACTTAACACGACGAGCAAAGGCTACACTTGTCAAGCTGTCAACGCCAACACAAATGACGTGCCGAATGCGAGCTTCACCTGCGATAGTAAGAAACTCTGAACAATACGACACCGTTTCATTTTTAGGGACCGAAACTATCTCCTGCCCGCGAGTACCCGCTGCTGGTAAGAATCGTATTAGCAAACATAGCGCAGCGCTTCCATCAAGAAAAAATGATTGCATCTTTAGGAATCTGGTCGGCCTGGACGAACGTCGCCGGCAGTACCTGCACCGCGACTTGTGGCAACAAGGGAACAGTGGCGCAGGTTCGAACCTGCTTGACTACGAATATCCAAAACTGCACGTAAGGGTATTTTGTGTGGCTTGGTACTTGTAATTAGCGGGATTTCGACTCGAACGACGAAATGTCCACCTCAGCCTTGCCCAACAGCACCGCAATGCATTCTGAATAGCCCGGTTGTATGTAACACTATCTGCCCAGTGATCAATGTCTAGGTCCACTTCACCGTCAACGGACAACGAACGGATCGTTGTGGATACGAGATACCAGACCAGGCGAAGCCGTGCTTCCCGGCCGGTTGTAATGGTCTGTTAGCCACCTCATCTATTTGGGACACATTATTCCAAACAGATCCAGCGCCCTAAACGTATAATCTCTAGTTCCACCCATCAGTAGCACGACGGTGCTACCAACGAAGACCAGTACCACGACCAAGCCAACCACTGCGACCAGCACACAACTCCCATCCACCATCAGTTATGGGCCCCTTACAAACGGTACTTTTGGAGGGTTTTGCGATGTTTCACTCGCGATCTCTTTGACGACCTCCCTTTTTCTCTCGCGCCCTCTGTCGCTCTCTCAATAAAGGCACCCCCAAGGCGTCACCTGCGGGCCGGGCTTCCTCTTCGAGGTCGGTCAATCATTCAATGTGACCTCGATGATCGACCCTGATAGCTACTATGGCGTCGAAGGGACTTACCAGATCTTGTAAGTCGATTTCCGATCCCAGCACTTGAGCATATACCCCCTGCAATCCTTTACAGCTTTTACTTGGTTCTCACTTCTCCGAACCGGATACCGGATGGACATGGCTTGTCATCGTTCATGCCACTACAACTAGTCACTGGCTGGGATGGTAACTCGGCGGTAGAGTACACGATAGGTACCTGCTTCTTGTTGCCCGTTCGTTTAAACTATTAATAAAGTTGTTACATTTACCTTTATAAATCTCAGGCGACGAAACACAATCCGTGAACTTGGACGTGGTACCGGGGCCCCTTGTACTGGAGCTCACGTAAGGAATTCCGGAACCTACCCGCAAGCTGCAACCCATTTTTATAGGCGCACAGCTGCTGATACCGTAGTCATCGCAGGAAGCTACGCAGGGTGGAATGACACGTGGTCGATGACAATCCCTTCCGATTTTGTGCTTAGGAACTTCCAGGAAATGAGCACCCGACCACTTCTGTATTCGATTCCCAGCTATTCAGAAGACTTCAACGATTCGAGCTTTTGCACGGTAAGGTGTTGTCCCGTTTTACTTGAATGCGAGCGAGTTGTTTGGTTTTGTGTGATGCTCATTTCAGGGCGATGACTCAACCGACCTGGCATACGACACGACCCCGAACTAAGCCGTGATCGCCTGTTAATAAATCTTGCTGTTCTCACTTACAGGGATAAGGATAAGTCTAATAGACTTATCCGTAGACTTAGTCTATCGGTTACGCGCGGGAAATAAAATATTTCAGCGCCTCCCCTGGGCGCGCTCTCTGTCCTGCTGGCGATTCGCCAAAATGTTCAAAAACATCCCAAAGGAGTTCAAGAGCGGCTTTCCTGCGCTCTTTAATATTTTCTAGTATCCGCAAATTCCAAGGCAAAAGACAAGGAAGGACCTTAGCTTCGGGGGCGAAAAGTCTACGATTTTCCCTAGGTTCAATTTTTCCCTGGCGTCAGGTGAAATAAATAATGCGAAAATCACGGCGGAAAGACGCATCCGCGTGCGGGACGACAGCTTTTAGCCCGCCACTAATTTGCGGTTAGCTTTAGCTATATTTCAGATTTATGAAGTCCCTGAAACTTCTCTCTTGATGTGGACCGCGTTACATATGACGCTTTTTTAGTGGTTTTACAAAATGCGAAAGCGCCAGTCGTTAAAAGGTAGAGGGCGCGTATTTTTTGCTGACTGCGACCGGCTATGAAAAAAGCTGAAGCATCCGTAGCTTTGGCAACTCGTGATAGTTCAAATAGTTCACAGGAACCAGTTGAAAAATGAGGGTACATATGTCCATTTCTGCAAACGGTCCCCTCCAATTGGTTTCGATAGTCGATCGGTCACTGTTGCAAGCCGACCCAGGTTCGAGGATCGGAAGCCCACCGTAAATCAAATAGTTCCCAGCACTTAAAATGACAAATTAGCAGAAACCATCGAACTTTCCCATGAAAATGGATTCCCCAATCTCTCTACCAGACGCTTTTGTTATAAAAACAGTTTAACGAGTTAGCATGATCATTTTTGAGATGCTGGGTCTCAGAACTCTTCACCTGATCCTTTCACTAATCGGTTTGAGTTTGCATGTGCCTGAAATTCCAGGACTTAGGTTATGTGATCGCGATACAAGTCTGCCCGGATCCGGCGTGTCCATACGCTGGTAAGGTTGTTGATAGAGGCAACAATTGCCCCAAAATTAGTGGCCTAGATGAGGGCACTGGTTTCCATGCGCCTAACAAGGAGTCGTTTTTGGGTGATATTGGAGTTTTTGAGCGAGACCTAACTAGTTCGATTTTTGGGTGATATTGGAGTTTTTGAGCGAGACCTAACCAGGGGCGTAGCCAGAAAAAAATTTCGGGGGGGCCCCGAAAAAATTTTTTCGCAAAACTCAAAACCTAACGAGGAAACAGCGCCGCAGGCGAAAAATTTTGGAAAAAAAGACTATATAGCTCTACAAATAGCAGTAAAAACGTGAAAAAAAGCGCTGCAGGCAGCAAAATTTTTGAGAAAATAAAAATCATAAGGGTCCCGCTTATGAAATTTTCGGGCCCCGGCCGATTTCGGGGCCCGGGCCCAGGGGGCCCACCTTACGCTACGTCCCTGGACCTAACTAGTTCGATAGAGAAAAAATTCTGAACAGGATGTCGGTTTCCAAATCTGCTAACCGTGTACTGTATTCAATAAAAATTAATTTTAATGAAAAAATTCCTGGACGGCAGGCTGCGACCCATGGATCAGGCCCGGGACATAGCCCACAGCGTGAACCAGCATCCGCATGAGATCGTGGCCTAGTGGATAATGCCGGCGCCTATCAAACTTTTGCAAAATTATGTCCAGGGTTCGGAACTTATTGTGATTTAATGTTTTGCTTTTTGATTTTTCATGCCATTGAAATCGAATTTGGCATTATCGAGCAAAAAGCAAAAGAGTTTTACTAGCGAGGAGTCGAACCCGCTGGCCAAAAGACAAAAACTTATGAAGCAAGCGCACTACCAATAGGCCAGCTGGTCATGGCTGGAGGGTGCCCTAAAGGGGGCTATGTTGACGCGCACCCAGAGCGCAGAATCTGCGGATCAGGCGGAAAATGATGGTTAGATTAATGATTTTCAAATTAATTTTTATTGAACAGCGTACACGGTTAGCCGATTTGGAAAACGACATCTCGTTCAGAATTTTTTTGTCTATCGAACTAGCTAGGTCTCGTTCAAAAACTCCAATATGACCTAAAAAGGACTCCTTGTAAGCCTCGCTCCCCATTATTCAGGAGCTTGGGGCGACTGGACGATAGTTTCTACGTGTACAGCGACGTGTGGAATGAATGGACTACGCGTGGAGACACGTGAATGTGTCTCCGAGAAGTTTGGATGTCCTTGCAAGTAATTCCCCGCCTGTCTCGTAGCACTTGTTTACAATTTAGCGGAGCAGTTTCGCGCATAGTCGCGTGCCCTGATTCGATGTGTCCGTCTCCAAGCCCTACTTGTGCTGATGGCTATGCGAAGGTAGGCGGGGACGGAATTTTTCGAGGAGATCAGGACGCCCGTGTCAGTTTTTATCAAACCAGCGACCCTGTGCAAAACCACTTTGCTCCCTGTCTTCCTCGGTTTTTCATGGCGTAACCGGCTGGCTTTTGCCAATTGTAGATGAGGCTTGAGCCAATATTGCTTGAATTGCAGAAGCTGAACGTGACAAGCAAGGCCTACACGTGCCAAGCCATCAACGTCACCGCGACTGTAGTGCCGAATCCGAGTTTCACCTGTGACAGTGAGCAAGCTATTCCAATCTCCTAAACTTTTTTAGTGACCGCAACAATCGATTGTCCGCGAGTTCCGCTGAATGGTGGGTGATGCACAAAAAATGGAACCGTATCGCTTATGTCAGGAATCTGGTCGGCCTGGTCGAACGTTCCTGGGACGTCATGCACGGCGACTTGTGGTAATAAAGGAACCGTGGAGGAAACTCGCACCTGCTTGACGTCAAATGTCAGGAACTGCACGTGGGCTCATTCCATGACTGCCAGCTGGGTTCCTTAATTCTAGTGGAATCTCCACGAGAACGGCGAGATGTCCACCCCAACCATGCACGACCGCACCATTTTGTCGTCTCAACGCGCCTATCGTAATTCAGGATTTCGATACGGAAAAATTCCTGCCTCTAGCTGACGTTCACAGTCAATGGAAGGCAGACCGATCGGTGTGGATATGAGATACCTGAGCAAGAGACGCCGTGCTTCCCGGCTGGTTGTAATGGTGGGCGCGGTCGTAGAGTAAAAAGTGTTGATAGTGGTCACCACGACAACAACGACAACGACAACGACAACGACAACGACAACGACGACTACGAGGCCTACTACGACTACGTCTACGACCACCACGTCTACCACTACCACCACTACTACCACCAGGACGACGGCGATAACTACCACTACAAGGCTTCCCTACTTCCTGGAGTGCCTCGGTTATGGCCCATACAGTATGTTTTACCCGTGAGCAACTCTAAAATTATCAGACAGCTAAACACAAGCCTCCTACCAATTTCCAGCCACAACCTGCGTGCCCGATTTCCCACTGAACGTCGGCCAGTCGTTGAACGTGACGGCGCCAATCAGCGGCAGCAACGGTACAGGGCCGGGCGTCGAACAATAGTCAGTCCTATGGCCTCACCAACTAAAGTAGCCTTTTAGCTTTTTGTTGGCAATGGCCACTACCAACCCGGTTAACACCTCTGACGGTTGCTTCGAGGGAATTACGCTTTTTAAGCTAATCTTGCGCGATGGGGTCTGCCTGGCCTATGTTCCGGAAGGTAGGTTTTTCGGTAGATGGACACCATCCCGAAAAGACACCATCCCGAAAGACACCATCCCGAAAAATTTGCACGCGAAAAGTCAGCTCTCCTATAGAAAAAAAGAGCTATTTTTCTATGCTAATGAAGTTTTCGCATGCAAATTTTTCGGGATGGTGTCTTTTCGGGTTGGTGTCCATAATTCGGTTTTTCATGGTGGGAGCGGCCCTTACCCCCAAATCGGCCAATCTGATTCCAAATCCGTTTGCAATTTTTGTCACAGAGGTTTATTTTAGAAAAATTTATAGAGATTTTAATAACGGTTTTAGGCAAAATTATTATTCGTCAAAGTTCAAATCACGACATGGTTTTGACTCTAGCTATTTCGCAAAACGGAAACTTGTTTCGAAATCAGCCAAAAATTATTGAAAAGATAGGTGACATCCCATTACGAAACGCCTTAAATGTTTCCCTTGTAAGGACAAACTATTTTTTTTGTGTTTTAGTCGGAGTGATCAGTCTTTACGGGACCGGACAATTTGACGAATGTGCGCCAGGGACGCTTCAAATGCAAATCACGTAAGGGACACCTATTTTCCAGGATGACGCGAAGCAAAGCTAATAAGCGTAGTGCCAACAACTTACATTGGTTCAAGACATGCTCTTACCCACCTTTTGTCGCGCAATTGGACTCCAGTCCGCCAGCTACAAATCCCCAAGTCCGCTCCATGTGCATTCTTGTAGCCGCGACGCAGTAGATACGCTACGCATCTCAGCAACGTATCTGGCATATAATCAAACATGGACGATGGCGATTCCCCCCAATTTCTCCATCCGATACCTGAAGGTAGCTAACCGAGTAGTGGGTAATTCTTCGGATGTCAGGATGTAGCCGGCGGGCCGGTGACCTACTCGGTGCCCACCTACGCAACTCGATACGGCAGCTGGTGTGGGGTGAGACAATCAGAGCTCGAGCACGAGCTTGACCGTTTTTTGCTTCTAGCTGGATGGCAATACGACAACTACGACCACCACGACCACCGCCATCACTACCACCACAACCAATTACCAGGAATGCCTCGGTTCCGAACCATACGGTTAGTTCTCCGTATGGTTCGGAAAAATGAGCCACATGTCTCATTTTTCGTACCACACAAGACCACCCGTTTACAGTTACCCACTGCCTGATGGACTTCCCACTGGACGTTGGGCAGTCGTTCAACGTGGCGGCGATGATTAATGGGAGCACCAACACGATAGATCATTTTACCGGTTTTCCGGTATAGTAAGCCATTTGAGAACCTTGTGTATACCAATTTGACCAAATTTGCTATCGCAGTGGTCACTACCATAGGGCGTCCCAAAAAATAACCCCTCTCTAGCGGTCCGGAGAAAGGTCAGATCGGGATGATTTTTACATCATTCGATAGCTCTCGAACAGGCGCGAAAACAAGCGGAGTTAATTTTGCAAGATTTTAGTTAATTCCATCGCTGTTTAAAATTTTGTAAAAACCCGGTAATTTTTCAAGCTTGATAGTTCTTGGACGCTAAATTGGCAAATAAAAGTACATAATAAAGAAAATGAGCCCAACTTTTTTCTACTTTGCGAGAGCTTTCGTTAGATACCCAAATCGTGAAAATCGGACTCGACCGCGCCCCGCTAGAGGGGTTTTTTTGGGACACCCTGAAGAAAGGCAGTCTGATCGCGAAGTGCAAATTTCTGGGTTCCGAAATATCTGAAAATTATTCCGAAAGTCTCGATAAGATACGCAGATTGAAATAGGCCAACAAGAAAAGGCTTTCAATAACGTTTAAAAATATAACCGATCGAATTTAAAAAAATCCCGCAGAAGCTACAAAAAAATACTACAAGTTGGTAACAAGATCACCCTTCGGAATTGTGGTTTTAGAAACCATCATCGCCCCTTTTTCTAGTTTCGCGTTCGCAATGGCCAACGCGAATGTTGGTGCTGATGCTAACGCGTCCTGCATTGAAGGACAGACGCTAATCAAAGTCCTCTACGTGGCACAGTCGCTTTGCGGCGTCTTGCAAGTCACTGGACCAGGTCAGCCTCCCCGCCTTTTGGCCGGCAGTCTACTGGTAACAGGGGATATGCGGCGTTTTGAATTGTTTATTTGTTGTTTTATTTCTGGTTTGCTGGTCTTGACGCTGATAGGGGGAGCTAGGTTTACACGAGCTTTGCGCGCGTTTCGCGGGGCGGGTTTCGTGCCTGAGCGTCTGAAAGTTTGAAGCTTCCTGTAGGAAAATAATCGCAAAATTTATGTTGGCCAACTGGCTGAAACAGTTAAATATGCACTGCATCAACGCAAAGAAAGAACGCGCCGCCGCGTTCGAGGAGGATGCGTGCGGATTTTTGGGAACCGGCTAGATGAAGACGACTGGTTGTATCCTAGATGGACGTGCGGACTTATTTGGTGCGGCACAAGACGAAGGCGAATGTCGCCCCGGGCAACTTCAAATGCAAATCACGTAAGGGAAATCGATTTGGGGACTGAAAAAATTAAAATGACATTTACCGTAGCTAGCGCTGCAGGCAGAGCCGGAAAATTACAGCCGCTCGCAGCTTTTGTGGAGAATTGCGGGCGCTACTTAAGTTTGCTGGCCCCACTTATATAGGATCAAAACCTCATTTTTCTCGTTCAGTTTTTTGCGCTGATTACGGAAAACACTATCCCAGAAATCGGGGCGCCTGGCCGCTTCGCGCGCCTCGGGCGCCCCGATTTCGAAACCCTGTACGAGCTCGCACCGATCCGAAGCGACTAGACCCCGGGGTGGCACGAAGCATTATTTTTAGGAAAAAAGCGGATGCAATCGCTAAGCCTTCTTGGAAAAAGCTTTTCCACCATTTTAACGGCCTCCCGCATCAAAACTTCAGGTTGACCCCCTGTAAAAACTCAAACCAGAAAAACCGAAAATCAAATGTGTCGCCCCCTCAAAATTCTCGATTTCATTTTCGTAGGCTGGGATAGTGTTTTCCGTAATCAGCGCAAAAAACTGAACCAGAAAAATGAGGTTTTGGCCATATATAAGTGGGGCCCAGCAAACTTAAGTAGCGCCGAATTGCGTAACGAAACGTGAGGCGAAACGACCTTTTCAGCCGCACCGCAGCCGATAAAATACTCATCGGAGCAACTTACCTGGCCTACAATGCCACCTGGACGCTGCTAATTAACCCGAATTTCGCTCTCAGAAGTCTTAAGGTATTTCCAAGGTGCCCAAGCATTTCCAATCATCTCATGTAGGCGTCAACCGGCCGGTCGGTGAAATATTCCGTGTCTAATTACGAGAATAACAGTGTCGCATGGTGTATGGTGAGTGATTTGGATGCAGCTTGTTTGCATGACTTCGATTCCAGTTTACCACGTCAACTCTGTCGGGAGGCTGATTGTAAAACGACATTGTCAGGGAATAAAGTGTTACCCCCATTCTTTCCAATAAAAAGTCTACCCTACTTCCAAACTTCCAGGGGCTCACCGTATAGTGCAAATTCTTAAAGGGGCCCGGAAATGCAAAAATTGAGTTACGGCCCGAAATCCCGAGGCCTATACGTGGGAGGCCTCTGTGCGCACAGGTGCGCGGGAAGCGCGCAAATTTGACATAGCCTGTTGTCACCTGCAAATCACGTTCTCGGCTGTTTCTGAGGCAAAACTGATGATTAAAACACCAAAACTATTTAAAATTAAGTGAGGATTTCAAAAATGAGCTCAGCATGCGCGAATTATAGTGTTTTCACAAAGAAACCTTTACAACAACGGTTTCGCGCAAAAATCGAAGGGAGTCTGCTCTCGTCCCGCAGCGCCTGCTGGCAACTTTCCAGCAATCAAAGAGCCCACCCAAAAGGGCTTTGATTTGGCAGTTCGTTGCTCCTTTAAAACGAACACAGTAGGCGTTTTTTACTGACAATCGAGTTCCCGCATAGGACCCAACCTATCTTGTGCCGAATTTTGCGCTGATTCCGAACCGGTATCGAAAATCCACGAAGCAATCAATTTGAGAAAGTTAGGGAGGTTTTTAGTGCGAAAATAGCCCATTTAGCGCAAACCGATATTTTTGAAGAAGCGCCTTGTGCTATCGTTCCCGTCCGCTCCGTTCCGCTTCCGGTTTTCTTTCCCCAACTTGAATATATTTTCACGGCAGTTCAATTGGCTTCGACATTCGATCGGCCAGTGTTGCACTATAGCTTTGGTCCGAAGATCGGAAGCGCATCGTAAATCAAGGCGCTCCCAGCACTGATTTGCACATTGGAAGAAGCCGCTTGGATTTCCCAGGAGGACACGGCCTCCAGTGTCCATCGCAACTCTTGGTTATAAAAACAGTCTAGGGAGCGGGCGAGATCATTTTTAGGATGCTGAGTTTGCGATCTCTTCCTCTGGTTGTATCGCTAATCGGTTAGATATTCTGAGGTTTAAATCTTCAAATCTTAGGCTATGTCAACACGATCCAAGTCTGCCCGGATTCGGCCTGTCCCTATGCAGGTAAGTATATTTAGAAAAACCCCCAGTATTGCCATAAAGTGAATTTCAAATCTTTGATCCATCAAATTCCAGCCCTACACGATTTTCAGGAGCTTGGGGCGCCTGGACGATAGTTTCCACGTGTACAGCGACGTGTGGAATGAATGGACTTCGCGTAGAGACTCGTGAATGTGTCTCCGAGAAGTTTGGATGTCCTTGCAAGTAATCTTTTTTTTCCTTGTAAAGCGGCATCGAAGTCGGGCCCAAGCCCTCAGTGTGGATTCCTGACAAATCGGCAGATACCACCTTCGTTTTTTACATACGTGTTTGACCCTCGAACATGCAAATTTTGGCTTCCTATACCTTTTAAGTAATTGTTTTCCGCAGATGTCCTCTACCTGTGACTCGCCTTTTTAGCGGAGCAGTTTCGCGGATAGTCGCTTGCCCTGATTCCATGTGTCCGTCTCCAAGCCCAACTTGTGCTGACGGTTTTGCGAAGGTAGCGTGATGTTTTCCTCATGAAATTTCCCCGTTAAGAAGCTGAACGTAACGAGCAAGGCCTACACGTGCCAAGCCATCAACGTCACGGCTGCTGTAGTGCCGAATCCGAGTTTCACCTGTGACAGTGGGGAAAGTTTCATCAATCTTATAAACTTTTTAGTGACCGCAACAATCGATTGCCCGAGGGTTCCATTGAACGGTACGTTTCCGTAAAAATGCGAGAATTGTACCGTTCATGTCAGGAATCTGGTCGGCTTGGACGAACGTTCCTGGGACGTCATGCACAGCGACTTGTGGTAACAAAGGAACCGTGGAGGAAACTCGTATTTGCTTGACGTCAAATGTCAGGAACTGCACGTGAGTTCACCCCATGACAGGCAGCTGGGTTCCTTAATTTTAGTGGCATCTCCACGAGAACGGCGCGGTGTCCACCACAGCCGTGTACGACCGCACCATTTTGTCGTCTCAATGCCCCTATCGTAATTCAGGACTCAAACGGAAAAATTCATACTTTTAGCTGACCTTCACGGTCAACGGAAGGCAAACGAATCGGTGTGGATATGAGATCCCTGAGCAGGAGACGCCGTGCTTCCCGGCTGGTTGTAATGGTGGGTACCTGCATGGTGGCAGCAGGGCCGCAGCGGGGCCGCCATAAAATGGTGATTGGGCTGATACCGTGCAACCTGTTTTTGGGGGTTTGCGGCGTAAGCCGAGCAGTTATAGTTCTCTTTAGCCTGCGCAAGCGCAAATTTGAGAAGAGTTGCCCAAAGCCTGCGGCGCAATTGTTGTATCTCGTTCTGTTATCACACCTTACAGGGTGCGGCAAAAGTATTGTCGCGACTTTCCGCCGACTGTATCTGCGAGGAAATTTGACAGATATTCTAGCCAAAAATCTATTTTATGCAGTTTTTAATGCTTTATCCGATGATAAGATTTACTTCCACAATTTTTGCTTTTTTTTGTCGCTAGGACAACTTTTTCCAAAAACCCGGCAAATTCAAGCCTAAAAACTGCTTTTTAGACGCTCTCTAGGTGACCAAAGAATGGTATCTATGCCAAGCTTTTTATTTCATTTGAAAGAGCATATAAAACTCTGCCTGAGAAACCATCAACCAAAGAATGTTGCGGCTCCCTTTTTGAGGGAGCCCTATTCAAAGCAAAGACAAACCCAGTGCGCCGCACATGGTCGCCCCGTATGCAAAAGTGAGATTGTGTCGTCCGCAAAGCAATGATAGCCTTGCTAATTTTTCTATGGTTGGTCCATGCTACTTTTTATCTATTCCCGAAGTTTGAGTCTAGTAATCCTGACTTGGTTCGAAAACATAAGCTTCCATGACTGCTTGCAAATGCAAAATAAATTTTTTCAAACCAGAGGTGGATAGCGATCAGGATTTAGCGCATCATGCACATTAAAATAAGCAAACAGGAAGTTTAATAATATACTGTTACGTCATCCCCTGAGAGCCTTTTCAGAAACTAAAAACCCAAAAAACCCACGCTGCTCGCGAAACCGGCCAGATTAGTCCATTTTCGTCTAACATGCCTGAGGCCATAACTCCTTCAAATCACAAAATTATAAGATTTCCATTTTGGACGACGGAGAACAAAGTAAATGCTACCAGAAACACATATGAAAAGTCATCGTGACACGTAGTCGTATATGCGTATTAAGGAAACTATTTGTATAGTGGCCACGACTACTACAACTACGACGACGCCGAGACCTACTACCACTCCGAGCTATAACCATGAATGCCTCGGTGGCGGACCATATGGACCATACGGTATCGTGAATAACGTCCAACACCATTTGATCGAACAACATCTTTGGCACGCTTGGCTTTCGAAAACTCGATTTTAAATCCAAAAAGACTCATTAATTTTCATAATCTCGAGCGGCGGGCGGGGGGTGAGATCAAAAGAGCGGGGCACTCATTATTGCTATTAATTTTAATAATTGTGGGCTTTTGCAAGCGGTGAAAAATGTAATATGGGAATTAATTTCAGCCAAAACAGTCTCAGGGAAATTTTTAGCGAATAAAGAAAAATTGTCCAAAAACTGAGAAACTGAGTTGAGCATCTAGGACTAGGAACTCGGACCGGAGGAGGGGAAGTCGCATTTTAAGTTTTTGGATATTTCAAAACACTAAACTAACAACACTAACTTGAAAAATATACTAAGAAAATTATTTAGAACCCGAGAAATGCAATATAGAAGTTTTATAGCATAAAAATGATGGGCACCACGTCGGGGAGCGGACGGGAATTTATTCTTGGTAGCTTCAGTATTGTAATTTTATTTTGAACATGGAGTTTCATAGAGGGACGAAAAATATACTAAGATCTTTTGCAAAATTTGAAGAACCATACTCAAAATTATTTTTATTGCAGTGAAATAATCAGTGCCCGTTACGGCACATAACTTGTTTACAGTAACCCACTGCCTTATGGATTTCCCGCTAGATGTTGGGCAGTCGTTCAACATGTCGGCGATGATCAATGGGCGTACCGACATGATAGACAATATTACCGGGTCTCCGATATAGTAAGTCATTTGAGGGCCATCTGTTTCAGCCATCGTCACGAAATTTCATAAATCCTAAATATCTGATTTTCGAAAATATGACCGACGGCCGCAATCACACTATTCCATTTCCAGTTTTGTTTTCGCAATGGCCGATGCGAACCTCCCTGCGGATGCTAACGCTTCTTGCATCGAAGGTTACACGCTAATGAAGGTACTCTACTTGGAACGGATGTCGCTCTGCGGCGTTTTGCAGCTTAGTGGACAAGGTCGGCTGCCTAGGAAAACATCAGAATCTCGAAAATTAGCATCTTGAAAATCAGAATCTCGAAAATCAGCCTCTTGAAAATCAGTATCTCCAACGTTCAGAATCTCGAAGATTTTTTGCTCATCAAGAAAAGTTCGGAAGTTAGGGTGCGCCGTCCAACGCCTGCTTGCTCTAAAAAATTCGATTCGGCCTTGATTTTCGAGATTCTAATTTCATCATCTGGTTCTCTGGTCTTGAAGTTCAACAAGAGTTTTTGGCCCAACAGGCAGATCGTCGGGCCGAATCTCTCTGATCGCAACAGTTTTTTGGAGGCCGGAGAGAAAGATCACTTGTTGAATCCTAGGTGGAGGCGCAGCCTTATATAGTGCCGAGGAAGACGCAGGCGACTGTCGCCCAGGGCAGCTTCAAATGCAAATCACGTAAGGGAAGCCATTCTGTCGAACAGAAAGGCGAAAATGACATTTACCGTATCTCGCTTACCTCCCCCCAGCCGGAAGGTCCCAAAAAATTGTTACGGTGTCGAAACGGTAGCGCTAGTTTCCAGCCATTATCCCCTGGCTGGAAATTGCGAAAGAATAAAAATTAACATTTTTAAAGTTAAATCAGCATTTTATGGGTCATTCGGATGTGGCTTGTTTTTACCAGCACCATTTTATTTTGCATTATTTTAGGTTGAAATTACAACCCTTGCAACATATTTTTTGTCGCTGTACCGGATGATTTTCAGAAATTTTGCTATGATATCGAAAATATAAAAATTTTTGGGCCCTTAGGAGCGGCGCGGGGGGTAAAGTAAACTCTGGCCAGAACGTAACAATTTTTGCAGCGGTAGCTTTTGTGCAGATTTGCCCCCCGGGGAACGAACGATCTTTTCAGCCGCACCGCAGCCGATCAACTGCTGATCTCAGCAACTTACCTGGCCTACAATGCCACCTGGACGATGACAATTGACCCAAATTTCGCCCTCAGAAGTGTTAAGGTATTGCCAAGGTGCTGAAGCATTCCCAAACACCTCATGCAGGCCTCCACCGGCCGGTCGGTGAAATATTCCGTGTCCAACTACGAAACTAGCTATGTCGCAATGTGCATGGTGAGTGGTTTCGATACATCCTATTTGCCCGACCTCATTTCTAGTTTACCACGATAACTACTAGGTCTGGACACTAATTGCGACGACACGGTTAAGCAATAAATTGTTGCGTATCAACAGGTTATTATTACGAGAATTACCCAAAATTTTCCAATAAAAGGTCCACCCCACTTCCGAATTTCCAAGGGCCCACCGAGTGCAAATTCCTAAAAACTAACACAGGAGACGGGTTTTTTATTGACAATTGTGTTCCCGTATAGGACCATGCTTACCTTGTGCCGAATTTTGTGCTGATTCCAAACGTGTTTTGAAAATCTGCGAAGCAGTCAGTTTGAAAAAGTCAGGCAGGTTTTTAGTGCGAAAAAGGACCAAAAGGGCCCGATTTCGGCATACCTATATTTTTGAAGAAATGGGACTAGCGCCTCGTGCCATCGTTTACCTCCGGTTTTCCTTCCCCAAGCTTGAATATATTTTTACAGCAGTTCAATTGGCTAAATCAGGACCGCAGCAAAATCGAAATTTGTGGGGCCCTCCCTCCCGGTTTTGGAAAAATCTCAGAAAAAAGGACTTTTGAAGCGAAAAATGGTGACTAAAGACAAAAATTCCACCATAACAACTATGTCCGGAGGCTGATTGTAAAACGACATTTTTAAGGAATAAAGCTTTTCGTATCAACTCAGCATTACGAGAATTACCAATCTTTCTCCAAGTAAAAATGATACCCAGTTTCCGAATTTCCTAGTTCGATAGTATCGTGAAAATTCTTACCCGCTAACGAGCAGAAGTTTTTTTTGCTAGTTTTCTTACGGGTTTAAAGCGCACTTTCAGGGAGGGGCCGTGTACTCGTCCCAACGTGTACACCCTATGGACGAAGCGACCGCGCGCACTGCCTGCCCGTGCTGTGACAGGCCATTCTCCTCCTTTGCGACGTCGGCGCCCTCGCCCCCTTACCAGGTTGTAGCTGTGGCTGACTGGTGGCCATCCGCGCCTCCCGAGCGGGAGGCCCGGGCTCGAGCCCCGGCCGCGGCGAAAATCTTTGTTTTTTTCCAAAAAAACGTCCCTGAACGTGCCCTTTAAGCAGCATCTTATGCAGAATTTTGTGCTTATTCCCGGCCCGTTTCCAAAATCTACGAAACGTTCTGTTTTAAAAAGTTTTGGCCAAAAGGATAATTTTGAAAAGACTAGCTCCTTGTGGTATCGTTTTCGGGTCTGATTTTATTTCCCAAGCCTTGATATATTTTTACGGCAGTTACCATGGCGGTTTTCTGCAAAGTTCCGAAAAACCTGGTAATTGTGCGACCCAATTATTCCTGATGGCGGCCAGCCGCTTTTTGGAATGCTTCACATGTTCTCTATCGTACTCTCTCGCTCTCACTCCCTCTCGCTCTCTCTCCCACTATCTCTCTATCTTTCTCTATTTCTCTCTTTCTAGCTTTCTCATTTATCGTTTGTTCAGCCTGTCCGTTTCTGTTTACTTTTGAATTTCGGGTTCGTGAAGCGTTTGAAAAATGCCGTTCGCCCTGCTCACCGCCAACTACAATACCCGCAACGGCGAATACGATAATATTTATTTGGACGATCCTACGGGTTTAATCACCGCTCAACTTTCTCCTAACGACTTCAAGGCCAAGAAGGATCCATTGTAAGCTACAAAATCGCCCATCGCCCGTTGTAACCGTTAAACTTTGAGGTCACCCCAAAAGCTGTGCATCTCGCCGATGCGAGTGCTGAACATTGCCGAGGAGTGTGGATTTGAGGTGACTCTCTCACTCTCTATCTCTCTCTCGCTCTCTCTCTCTCTCTTACTGTCTCTCTCGCTCTCTCTTTCGGACTCGCTCAACCAAAATCTTTTTTAGCTACAAGCCAGTCCGTCCCGTCTGATGGAATACCACATTTCGACATGCTACAGCTGGCATCTGCATAAACCTGCTGGAAAAGGCTAAATATAGCGAAAAATCCTACAGTTTTGTGTTTTTATGATTTTGTATTTTAAATAGGTTATCTAAATTTCCATTAAACCGTTTATTTCCGATAAATACTGGATCTAAAAAAAGCTTGGATGTTCAGCATGTAATCTATGAATAAAAGCTACAGGAACTGAAAAAATATGACAAAAAGAAGAACCGTAGCTGCATGTTTGACTATGTAAGTTGGATAAAATAGTTTTTTTGCATAAAATCACAAGGTTCTACGATAGAAATAGATTTCCGGGATCTGACCATCTTCAACCGAAGTGCCGTTGTTGTTCCCGGCCGCATAGGTGAACTAAAAATAGGTATTAAACCTCTTGAAATAAACTACAAGTTATATGGACAAATTAAACAACAAAAAGCATAAAATTGCATTATATTGAAAGGAAATTACCTGAAAAGTGACGTTGTTCGTCTGCGAGCTGGGCTGCAGGACAATGCGACGAAGTCCCTTGGAGCCATAGAACGAGTCAGGCCCCTGAAAATGGAAATTAAAGGCCATTGAAGCCGCGTTTCGATCATATCATCACTGATTTTTGTCTCAACCATGAAAACACCATTACGCAAAATTAAAATAAAAAAATCACTTACTTTCAAGCAAGCACTGGCCGTGTAGGTGATGCTCGGGATTATCTCGACCGGCTTCTAAAAAAAGTTTAGATATGCCTTTCAAACCGCCAGGTTGAAGGTATAGTGAAGGCAAGGATCTACAGCTCCCTCCAAAAATCTTACCAAGAACGATACTCGGAACGTATTCTGCGAGCCGTCACATTGGAATGTCGTGTCGTTATGCGCCAATAGCTTACCGGTACCACAGTGATGGATCTGAAAGTGGGGCTATCTCCATCTCTTTTATCTCTATCTCCATCTCTCTCTCTCTCTCTCTCGCTGGCCGTTGAAATTACCTGAATGGTGGCCTGATATTCATGAGGACCGTGGATCGATCCGTACAAGCCGAATCCAACGACGTAGATTTTCTTGTCGACCGTAAATCTGAATGGCAATTTATAGAAAAATTGTCCCACTTACTTAATTTTATCGGGTGTGAAGTTGTAGCCCCAACGGCCTTCGATACGTTAAATCTGAAAAATATGGATTAAGGAAAGGGAGAGAGAGAAAGAGAGGGAGAGAGAGAGAGAGAGAGAGAGAGAGAGAGAGAGAGAGAGAGCAAGGGAGAGAGCGAGAGAGAGCGAGAGAGAGTGAGAGAGCTAGGGAGGGGTAAGAGAACGAGTGAAAGAGATATTTTTGCTAAATCGTACCTAGTTACCACAAACTCCTTGCCGACCATCACACTCCTGGGCCGCTCAATAAAGTGAGTAGCCGGCTTCGGGTTCACGGTATAGTAGAGGAACAGCTCCACCATCTGGCGATCGCTCAGCAGACCGGATTGGGCTGGAAATATCTTTATTTCTTGATTTCACTGTTTTTCTTTTGCTGCTGTCACTACCCCTTTAAAGGTGGGGGCCCAGATTTTAGTTGAGTAATTTTTCGCTCCAAAAAAGCTTATACCTACCGGCAGTTTGGGCAAACTCTTCAATCGTCATTAGCGGAAAGCGGATGAGAGGTAGGGCCCGACCAAGGACGGCCCGCTTGTTTTCTGAGGTTTGCGGAATGCCCCGTCTGCCGCATTCCTCGGTGGCCCAGGCGATGATCGCCTAAAATAAATGAATACAATGTTTGATTGAAGGTTTCTAGCCGGAATACAGAACGGAAAAATGCCGACTTTCAAAATATGGTCAGCTAAATGACCATCAGCTAAAATACCGACAGCTATCCACCTATGCAAAAAATACCTTAATCATACCATGAAAATGTGTTTCAATTAGAATTCAAATAATTAGGTTGTTGGCGCTTTGTTTTGTCGGCATTTTTCTGCCGTTTGGGCTATTTCAGGCTATCTAAATATCGACGCCAAAAATACCGACAATTTAGATGAGGTTGACGAGAGTACAACAGTGGGGCAAAAACAAGCTCAAGCAGCTCACCTGAAAAAGCTGTGCCTCCCGAACGCGTAGCGAATCTCGGCCCAGAACCAGGCATAACGTATCGTGGTCGATTTCCACAAAGCCTAGAAAAAAGAATATCAAAAACATCACAATAATTCTTACTCTCAGCGTCCAAGGCAGGTACGGTATCCTTATCAATCGTCTCTAGGCAGAGTTCGGCAAGTTGCGGCTCGTCGAATAATCGAGCTTGAGTTAGGAGCATGAAGGCGTTGTCCGGTGCCAAGGACTCTTTTAGGAAGTCGATACACGCGTTTTCGAGGGCCCGGACCGCATATTTTTTGGCTGAAAATAGAATTTTGCATACAGTAAGTTTTAAAGGGGCTGAGAACATTAGAATTTTTTAGTAATTCATAGGAATTAATCTATTGCATAGGAATCTATTACTACCCTGAAATTTGGGAAAAATTACCCGTATACAACGTAGTCATCACCGAGTCCGGCCCAATCGACACCTCATCCGTGTACAAAAATCGTAGCAGGGCCATGAAAGAGCACGGCTCAATGTCGGGGAGCTCGATTTCTTGAGGACCTAGAATAACTGGTTTTAATTAGATCAAAGGCGCAAGAATCAACCGTTTCTATCGACTAGATCTCTACAACTACGCGCCACTCCAAAGAACGTCCGCTTTAGCGGCTGAATGATGGTCCAAAAGCAAATCTGTAGGGCTAGCGTTTGGTGATTCCATTTATTTTGGTGGGATTCCTAGCTGTCCAGTCCTAGACGTAAGGAGGGGTCGAATTTAGCCGGTTATAGTCCTTTTCATTCTGCCTTAGACGCCACGGAAACTGGTCAGTATCTTGAAAATCCATACCTTGACCAGAGTTCTTCGGCGTCAGCCTCCCATTGAACATCGCATCGAACACGACGGAGCCGATGGAAAGGACGAAACGATGGGCGGGAATTCGCTAAAATATAACTTAAAGTTAAAGCTACGCTAGCAAAGATTTCTGGACGTGTAGCGGATGTGTTGTCGCAACGAAAACTGCAACGCGACCGCTACGCGTTCAAGCCGTTCTTCTACGGGTCTATTATAGTCTAGTCTACCTGATGATTATCCCCTTGACCGACGATGAAGTAAACATCGGCAAGGATGTCGTTGCAGTACATGAAGGAGAGGCGTTCCTGCAGAGAAAAAATGTTGGAAAAGAAGAAAATTAAACTTACCTTCAAAGATCCCTTCTCGGCCTGCCAGCCCAGCATATTCGTCTCGACGGCGTTGGCTGGACGGTGTTCTGAATAGATATCTGACTTTCTCTTTATCTCTTTCTCTCTCTCGCTCCCTCTCTCTTTCCCTCTCCCCATCTCTCTCCTACCTGGATTCGAATAACTCGAATTCCGACCAATCGCCAGTACATGGGAGGTGTTGGCCGGGAAGGTGCCCGGAATCAGACGTCTTGGAGTAGAGGCAGCAGCTGAAGAAACATGTTTTTAGTGATGCTAATTTTATTTTCTAGTGTTTTGATAGCCGCCATTAGGACTCAAAGGGATGAAGCTTACTCGAACACTCCGGGACTTGCTCCAGGTCATCCGTGGCCTCATCTCCATAGTATAGGCGCGGAACTCGGTTTTCTAGGGGAATAAACTTTTACTAGACATGCAAAAGGGCAATAAATTCCTTCCAACCTATTTTCTACTATACACAAACTATTATTAAACCAGCACCGAAAACCCGCTTCGCGGGCCTTGGGCGCTGGAATCAAGCCCTTGCATACTGGCTAGCATGAGGAAATTTCTATTTTTTCACATTATGAAAATTAGTTCTCCGGCGCCCCAAAATTTAGTCAAACCGGCTTTAACTTTGTAAACTCGCATTTTATAGCGATTCTGAAAACACCATCGGAAAGATGAAGGTCTATTCCCCCTAGTGACGTAGAATTGGGACGTTTTGAACACGGAAGGCCCCCAAATCGGGCCTCGAAAGTCCAGCCGGACACAGAGACACACACACACACACACACAGAGATACACCCCAAAATTATATAAGGTAGGATTTTAAAACAATTAGTTAAAGAAATACCTCCCAGTTGCAGATTCCTCAAAAACTGCTGGCAGTTATTCAGCACCTCGTAGCCGCGTAATGTGAAGCTACCGTCTTCATTTCTGAAAAAAAAGGAGTTTTCAGGTACAGTATTTTATGTTTTTTTGCGCACATTTAGCAGTATTATGCTTTTTTAATTTTATTATAACCATTTAGTTTGCTGCCTATTTTGTAAGAAAATGGATAAGTAATACTTACACAACCGGCTCCCCATCGGCCGTCAGATTTCTTGGGCGCTGCTCGTTGAGGGCCCAGTGGTTAGCCTGAAAAGGTATCAAATAATTTTCTGCTAATTTTGTTTTCGTATCGGTTACAACATGTAATTATCCGCCCCCAAAAGTCGACTTTTGGGTATCTGACTTGTTTTGATTTCTGCTTACGATCTTTGAAAATCCTCCAGAGGCTGGATTTTCTCAAGAATACTTTCTGAACTTCAGCGGCTAATTGTTTACGCAATTTAATCGCGAAAACAGGATCGGCAATTATTGCATTTGGGTATTCCATGGCTTTTCGTATTCTCATTGTTGGTAATCCACCTCCAATTGCTCTCCCTCGGGCTGCGCTTCTTCGGCATCATCAAAAATGCGTTGATGGTTGGCTCGGGCGACCAATTCCGGACCCTAAGATAACTTTATGTGATGTTTCTCCGTTTATATTTAAGAATACGTCTTTTAATCGTAACCCGAAACCTCTTCGAATGATAAATTACCTGATCCTCATTCCGGTTAGCCATTTCGGGGCCGAAATCGGGCTCTTCCTCACCAAGTTCCTGCTGATTAGCATCCGGCGCATCTGGCGCGTTGCCGAAAATCGACACTAAAATACAAAAAATGTTGCTAAGCGCTTTTTGGCTTGCCAAATCCAGGATCAGGATTCGCGGCTGCGCCAGTGCCGGACGAAGACGGTCTGAATTTTAAGCTTTTGAGAGCAAGGTAAAACTAAGGAGGCTGTTTAAAAGCATACTTTGGCTCTTCCTCCGGTTCGTGCTCGTTCTGGAACCATGGTGATTCGAGTGGGGGCGAGGGTTTTGGCTAAATTGGGCACTTTCTGGATAAAATTATATGGATTTTGGCTTGCCGGTTCGTTTAGACATTCTTCTCTGTCGTTTTTCATTATTTGCAACTTTTTAGTACCTGGCCAACTTCCCGTTCGGCGGTATCCGTCGATACTTGAGGCGCGGAAGCCGACGGATTTGGATGTGTTGAAGAGGACGGCTAAAGGTAACGGTTTTAGCATCAAAATAAATAGCAGTAGGTACGGCATTATCCATAAAATTTGTATATCTTTAAAACCCACAAATTCCCTCTTTTCCTCTTCGGGTGTGACCGGAACCGGAGGTCCGAAAAGCCGCTGCTTCATCGCCGTAGGGGGTTTGGTCTTCTTTTCGTCCGGCATCTGGGAAAGGAAAGTTAGGTAATTACGAATAATATGCGTCCTCGAGCGTATATGAAAAGCCCATTAATGTTATGTCAGTTTTTAAACGCTTCTTAATACGCTTATGCTATTTTAAAATTCAGAAATTATAATAAACGCGGCGTTGCGCCGGTTTTTGCTGGAAAAAGCGCAACATTACCAAACCTATCTCTATATTTTTGGGAATTAAAGTCTAGAATCCCTATAAATTGAACTATATATAATCTAAAGCGTTTGACATGGTATGATGTTGCTATTTTCAGCAGCTGATGGGGGACACTGGCCGAGAGCGCTCGAGAGAGGGCTACTGGGCACTGCAAATGACACCGGGTGTAGGGCGCCAACGGAAATGGGGTGCTAAAGAATTGTACTCTGAAATACCGTAAATTTCCACTGTAAAAATACGCCAGGCTCTTTGCTTATTGTTTTCGAAAAAAAATGGAGCTTTCTCAAAAGTTACTAAATTTTATTTTTAAAACCATTTTCTGTAGTTTTTTAGTTGCTTGACGTATTTAACGTCATATAGACTTTTTTTATCATTTTATCCGTAACTAGACACAATACAAAATAAAAATCGATGGCTAAAGGCATTTCAAGGGGGTTTTTGGTGAGGCAAATGTGGTAGAAAAGGCCACGGTAGAATTGAGACTATAAGTTATTGGGGCAAAAAATTTACAATGAAGAGGCGGATTTTAAAGGAGTTTGGAAAGCAAAAGCAAAAAGGATTTGAGCTAAAACCGCATTTTTTCGAAATTTACCATTGAAAAATTTGCATAAAACGTTTTTCTAGGCGTCCAAGTCCCTTTAAGATTCGCTTATCTTAAATAAAAACATGTTTAAATCAAATTTGGGTAGTTTTTCTTTGAAAAATGGGCACACAACACAACACGGTTTGGGATCACAGTCACGCGGAATCGGAGAGGACGGGGAAATTCGGAGAGATAGCAAGAAAAATAAAGATAAAGCGACATCGAGGACTACAATTGGTTTTCACTAACATTAAAATGACGACAATAAGGAAAAAGAATATTTTCAATTAAATAAATATAGGCACATTTACGAAAAATACGCGAAAAATCGACTTTATCAGCTGACGAGTGTCGTATTCGGGCGCCACACGGCTACTGTAGTATCACTAAAAAATTTGCGATAATAAAAGAATGAAATAATCGCTGCGATTTTATGATAATATCCATCAATAAAATGCATTGAAAGTTTGATTTACGAATTCTAAAATTACCAAAAATCTATTTTTTAACTTAAAGGGGCTCCGAACTGCCAAATCAAAGCCCTTTTGGGAGGGCTATTTGACTTCTGGCAAATTGCCAGCGGGCGCTGCGGGACAAGAGCCCTCACTCTTTCGATTTTTGCGCGAAGTTGTTTTTGCCCGGTTTCTTTGTGAAAACACTATTTCGCGCATTCTGGCCCTTTTTTGAATCCTCACTCAATTTTAATGTTTTGGTGTTTTAATCATCATTTGGCCCAGAAACAGCCGAGAACGTGTTTCGAGGTGACAACGACTTTCAATTTTGCGAGCTTCCCGGCCCCTGGGCGTACAGAGGCCTCCGACGTACAGGGCTCCGATTTTCGGGCCGTCACTCAATTTTTGGCATTTCGTAGCCCCTTTAAGTTTTATTTTGCCAAAATTTGAACTTTCATATTTAGTTTTCAGGGTTAACTATCAAAAAAGCGAAAATTTGGGCTTTAAAGGTACCTGGAAGCCGTAAACACGAGGCCCGAGGAGTAGCAGATGCTGTTGATCGAATCTTGATGAGCTTTCTCGATCTGAAAAGCAATAGAAGATATGAATTTCCAAAAGAATCTCTGCTAGCGTCTCTCTCTCTTTCTCTCGCTCTCTGGCTCTCTCCCTCTCTCCCTCTCTCTCGCTGTCTCTCTCTCCACAACCTACCGTGTCCACCAGTTTCAACCTCCTCGTCGACTCAGTTTCCCAGAGCTTGAGGTGGCCCTCCTTGCAGACGGAGGCGAGCAGGGTTTCATTGGGGAACGGGACTTTGCACATTCCCTAAAAATAAAAAAACATGGTCTATGCATCAAAACATGGAAAATTGAGGTAAATAAAAAAGTTAAAATATTCCTGTCTTACCTGAACGTATCCATTATGCGCCTTCAGCTCGAGATGATCACGTTTGTAGTCGAGCAGATTGATTTTCATGATGTTCTAAAAAGAAAGAGAATTAAGGCTACAGTATCGCATACCATATCTTTGCTGGCGGTGAATAGGTGCTTCTCGTCCGAAACGATACACGTGACGTTGTCGTAGTGGGGCGGGTTGAATTCGACCTGAAATTGCGTTTTTAAGAGAGCGAGAGCGACGGAGAGAAACAAGGAGAGAGAGATAGATAGAGAGACAGAGAAAGAGAGAGAGAGAGGGAGAGAGATAGAGCGAGACAAAAATTGAGAGAGATAGAGAGACATAATAATTTACATACCTTTGCTTCGTGTATCCCCTCGCCGGTCGTTGGGATTGTGTACATTTTCACATAATGATCACGAGATCCGGTGAAGACGTTGCATACTAAAACGACCTAATACCGTTTGTTAACTTTACTTACCATTCCTCTCCGTATCCAAAGCGACGGACAGGCAGGAGACCTCCGAGCGCGGACTGAAACAAGAATTTGCATTTTTAAGAAAATAAAGAGTTAAGCTATAAAGAGAGTGAGAAAGAGATAGAGAGAGCGAGAGAGAGCGAGAGAGAGAGAGATAGAGTGACAGGGAGATAGAGAAAAAGAGAGAGATAGATGTTACCTATGCGCAGCTCCGACCAATCGTCCAAATGATGCCATCTTTGATAGACTCCAAACCCGAACATCTCCGCCAAAAGCGGAAAGCAGAAGTTCTCCACTTGGGTCGATATCAATCGCATTGACTACGGTCTCCAGGAATGGAACGGTATTCTGGCGAGAACCGATTGGGCCTCCGTCACCTGAAAATCAGAAGTTACTTTGAAATGAGCTTTATAAGGAACTTATTTTTGGAAGCAAATTCCATTACATTTAACTGTTTCCTACCTTCTACGACCTGCCCGCTGCTCTGGAATAATCGGACGCATTTGTTTTCTCTCAAATCCCAGATCCGCATCTGGTACATGGAGGCGGTGACGGCCAGGTGCGAGTTGGGTACGAGTCTGAAAAATCGAATTTGCATATCTTTCTCTCGCCCTCTTTATCTCTCTCTCCCTCTCTCTCTCGCTCTGTCTTTCTCTCTCCCTTTCGCTCTTGCTCGCTCTTGGTCCCTCTCTCGCACTCTGACTTACTTGACAGCATGGACATTGTTAGGGTGAATTCCAAGCGTAGCCACTTCCTGACCCTGCTCCAGGTCCCAGAGCTTGGCCAGTCGATCTGAAAAAGTTCAGATCCAGGACTCCCTTAGTAAATAGGATTCCGTACGACCCTTAGACGCTACGCTGCGCAACTCCTTCCGCTAAAATTTTACAGCTTAAGATAGCCATTCACATCCGATTTCGGCATCAAAAAGGAGGGGTCGACATCCAGCCAAGGAAAGAGGTCGATTTTAGCGTCTTCTGCCCCCTCTAAAGTCTAGTATTAACCACAATACCTTTCGACCCGGTCACCAGCAAGTTCTCCAGCCCATCAACAGCAAGTACAGGTTTTGCATGGCCGTCCAGAATGGCTGTTCGGAGTAGCTTCCCGGTGCCTCGGTCCTTTGCCGCCACGATCTCGCCTTTCTTGCTAAAATTCATACCGTAATTTTTATGGATATTGGTGTACAGAGGAGCTTTGCGTACACTGTGACATTGGGGTGCTCTGGCCGATTCACTACGGTATTCGATTACAATAGGTAATAGGCCTAGCGATTAGGACAAGCTGTGGACAATTTTGACGATTATTTTGGACTTTTTGGACGCGAAAGAAGTTACAGTTACGGTTACCCACTAGCAATCGTCTGGCCCGAGCGGTCTAAAGCCCGGATTATGTTAATTATGTAGATTAAATTGGTAATTACATCAATTTTCTTTAGATAAAATCTTAATTGATTAAACTAAATATGATTATGTGTTGATTAAATCGGACCGTTTATGTAATTTAAATCAGCTTGATTTAAAGTTGCTATCTATTAGTCAAAAAAGTAACAATTAAGCTCTGCTAATTTTCGGTCTCTTTCATTCTATTTTGTTAATTTTATTTGGTGCGCTGAAAACCTGGTGCAATTAAGGAAAATAAGGAAAACTAAAAAAAATGTGAGGATACAGTAAAACAATTCGAAAAGTACTATATCCAAAATTGGATCTAGTTTGAAAACTTTTAAATTTAGAAAATTAGAGTAAAATCCTTTAAAAACTGAAAATCGTACAATTTTTCGAAACCCTTAAACCCGAAACTATCATTTAAAATTGTTTGAAAATTTAATATATTAAGTTAAATCCACAAAACTAAAATTAGACTCAAATTTAGACCAACTCACTAAAAATTTAAACTATTGAAAACAAAAAACTGCATAATTAAAAATAATTTTTTGATCGAAGTTCGGAAACGATGCGGAATTTTGATTGTTCTCAATTTTTAGCATTAATTTAGGTGCAAGACTAGGGTAGCCGGTGTTGATGAGTAGGTGCTAGTGCCAAAATCGAACCAAAAATTGGGATAATTAAAATTATTTAAAATCAGCATTAATTGATTAACCGGTTGAGTATATTCGAGGGCGAATTCTCGTTTGCCCAAGCCGGATGGAGCCTTGCGAAGACGCTGCGCCGGCCGCCAGGGGCGCCCGCAGCCTGGAGACTCGGGGCTGAGGGCGTCTTGTGTAGGGTTGTGGAGGTGGAGGGGTTGAGGGTAGATGACGATACCTCGGCCAGCGGTGGAAGCCGGGATGCACTGGCCGCCTGGCTGAAACAGCACGCACACTACGGTAGTACATTAGGCAATGTAATTCCGGGACTATACTACGGTAAGATTGGGAGGGAGCAGAAGGGGTGGCGATTTTTAAAGGGACAAAAAATGCCAAAAATGTTAATTGTCTCCGGATTTTTTTTCAAGAAATTCGAGATCCATGCTACAATACCGAAAAAAATAAAAAAATTAGAAAAACGGAATTTCCAAAAATCGGTGTACGGTAGCCGAAATTTTGATTAAATTGTGTTTTTGTGGCATGGTTTGAAGGGAGCGTTACAGCATCTTCGGGACTTGCTACAATCACTGTTCCTCCCTCGCGTTACCTCTCTCTCTCTCTCTCTCTCTCTCTCTCTCCTCTCTCTCTCCTCTCCCTCTCTCTCTCTCTCACTCTCTTTCACACGCTCTCACTCAGGCTCTCTCTCTATCTGTCTGGCTCTCTCTCTCTCTTTCTCACGCTCTCACTCAGGCTCTCCCTCTGTCTGTCTGTCCCTCTCTCTCTCTCTCTCTCTCTTACTGTCTCTCCCTCCTTATCGCAATCTCTCTCGCTCTCTCTCGCTCTCTCTGTCTCTCTCGCGCTTTCTCTCCCATTCTCTCTTCTTCTACATCTCTCGCTCGAGTGTCACGCTCCCCTTAATTCACCCCTTCTGCTCCTCCTCTCCAAAACAATTCAAAAATCAAATTACCGTCTCTCGGCCAGCGCCCTCCGATTGGCAATGATACGAGCACCAGGTGTCATTCCTGTTGTGGTCGTCGTCGTCGATGTCGATGCAGATGTCGTAGAAGCGGAAGCAATCGATGTAGACGAAGACGATGGGATCGACGCAATGGTCGACCTCAGCCGGCCATTCCGTAGAAATGCCGGCGGATGGGTGGCCGAGGCAGATGAGGGCAGCGGAACGACACTACACCATACAGAGACTATCCACGGATTAGCAAGCGGTTTTTTTGGGGTACGGTAACTTGTTTTCAGTAATTTTCGATTAAAATAATTACTGCATTAATAAGGTGTTTTTACATTAATTAAGCTACTTCATGTCAAATTGTTCTTCAATATTAAATTAATTGTTTAAAAATTAGCAAATAAGCAGAGTTACGAATTGTTATTATGGGACACAAATGTTATAAAAATTTTTTAATCTAATTACAAATATTTAAGTAATCATTAATTCATTCGAAATGCAAAAAAAATTGGTTAAAATATGTTAATAAAATTTTGGTAATATTTTCAGGCGTTGTATGATTTAATTTTGTTAATATTAAATTTGCGAAAGATTTAAATAAAATTTGTCTAAAATTTCTGTGTTTCGAAAATAAAATATACTTGAATTTCTGGAGTCTCTAGCCATTAGTGTGCTGTGCTGTGTAAGAGAAGCCATCCAAAAACATAAAAAAACATCCTCGCAGCCACACAGAATTTGCATAGAAAAATTGGATAAATTAGATTAAACCGCACGTTGGTGCTAGGGTTTTTAAAGGGACAGGCCAGTCAAAATCCATCAAAAATTCCTACTTTTTCCTCCTCTGACGATCGGACAGCTGGCCGTCACTGGCATTCGAGTGGAGCGACTCGGAGGGATCGTCGTTGGGGTACAGTAGCTCTTCAGCGGTCGTCGCACGACGTCGAATTTTGTGATCGTAGTCATCTGTAAATAACGATTGATTACGATGACATTTTAATATTTTACTCCGCGAAAAATCTCTGCTGGCTTGCCCTCGTCGTTAGAAAGTTTTAAAGATTTAACAAATTGGAAGCGCACGACAGGGAGGCGGGGTCAGGGAGAGAAGAGAGAGAGAGAGATAGAGAGAGCGCTAGGGAGAGAGAGTAAAAAATCTGGTGCTAGAAGAATCTCTCCAATAATCCCTGCCAGCTTGCCCCCCCCCTGCAAAACCAAAATAAACCGACCAGTACCATTTGCATGCGAAGGACTAGAATTCCTTGCTGAGGAACCGGAAGCCCGCGAGTTTGACCTCGAAATTTTTCGCCTTCCGTCCAGCTGCCCGAGCTCGTTTACTAAAAATCATATTTTAGGTCTGTACATTACTTAGACGGTCTATCTGAATGTATCAAAAAAGGCTGTAGTAGCCCTACCGACGCTTCCACCAAAAAAGCAAAAAGCAAAAGATGATTTGCACGCGCCGGGGTTCGAACCCGAGTCTCCGGATTGGGGGTCCAACATGCTAACCTCTGCACCACGCGTACCACAGGGGTGGAGAGGGGCGGAGCCTAGATGACCCCGCCCTCCCCCGGGGGCTTGGTCTCGGGGTATGGGGCGCGGAGTACAAAACCGAGGGTGCGGGTTCGAGTCCCGCCGGTGGCGGCGTTTTTGCTTTTTGAGCTCCGTGATATGCTGTGGCTTGTAGCCACAATAACAATGACCCGGATGGCAATTTCATAGCGAGAGGGCAATTTGATTTTCGTTCCGTAATCCATTAAACAGCTCGATTTTGAATGCGTAATCAGTTGTTTGCGAAAATTTGGTATAAGCTTTGTTAAGACGGCCGTTTGATACCGTAATCGATCAGCCTGTTCAGGTTTTTCTTTCAATCTCAAATTGATGCCGTAATTGGTCAAATCGGTCCATTTTCATGTCGTAACTGATTATAATGCGCGATTTTCTTGTGTATTTGTATATTTTATGCTTAGTTTCTAATGATTTAAGTGTATTGTATAATTTCATGTCGTAATCGATAAAACCACCGAATTTTTCCTCTTTCTTATCGCAGTCGGATAAGGAGATCGAAATTAAACGGCGTAAACAGTAAAACCTTTCGTTTTAGTGGCTTTAAGGTTTCGTTAAGTTTAAAAAATTCCTAAGCCTACGGTAGGACACTTTTCATTCTTTTTTCTTACATTCTTCATTATTCTGAAGTGTTTTTCAGCCCAAATCCCTCGAAAACCCCCGATTTTCCGATTTCTATTTGCCGTTTGGCACGTTGAAAGGTGATGACTGGACCCCCGCTAATTCAACAGCACAGTTCCACCCATTCCATCCATCCCAGCCCTTTTCTCGCCTTCTCAAGTCCTTTAGAAGTCCTCTTTGAACGGGTCGGCCGTTTTTGAGCCCCATTTCGCGGCTCGGATTTCCTGCGCTCGTCTGATTCCCACGCCTCTCCAAATCCTCCCCACCCCACACATACCCCCTACACACATTCGGAAGCTCCTCACACGCAGCCGAGCTTTATAGTTAATGGTTTTTCATAGCTCAAAGATAATGTTATTTTTTTTAAGAAATTTTATAATTGTTTCGAAAATCACTTTACCGAAAAGATTATTTTTCGAAAACCACCCAAAAATCTGTACAAAAAAATTGCATTGCTTTTTTACCCAATTTGCCTGGCCGAGATTTTTCGAATTTAGGAGAAAAAATTAATTTCGATAACCTGAAGTTTCGAAAAATAGTTTCTTTCCACCCTTCTCTCTCTCTCGCTGTCTCGCTCTTTCTCACGCTTTTGCTCTTCTCTCATCCTCGCTTTTTCTTTCTGACTTGCTTTCTTTCCCTCCTCTCTCTCTCTCTCTCTCTCTCTCTCTAAGTCTCTCTCTCTCTCTCTCTCTAAGTCTCTCTCCTTCCCTCTCTTTCTCTCTCTATCTCGCTGTATCTCTCACTACCTACATATCTCGCTCTCTCCCTCTCTCTCGATCTCTAGCTCTCTCTCATTTTTCCATCTCTCACTCTCTCTCTCCCTGTCTCTCTCTTACCCAAATTATGATCAATGATGACGCTCTCCAGCAGCTGCTCGTTGATGAACGTCTGCTGCTCAAGTTGCATGATCCTCGCCTCAGCCTCCTGAAAATGAAGTTTAACAGGAATTTAAATTCAATTAAAACTTAGTTGCTAGGCTTAATTTTCAAAACCCAATCCCCGAGAAAAGCATTAAATTAGATTATAAGTGCCCCCATCTTAACCTAATCCGCACTAATAGACAAAAAGGAGCGGGTCCTCCTTGGTCGTGCCATAGGGCAAAACACAGTCAAAAAGGAGGAAGGGTAAGAAAGGGCGGGCCAGGGAATCCCCTCGAGACTTCCTCCCAGGCTTCATCCCCCTTCCGGAAAAAAGCGCGTACTTTAGAAAACGGGCTGTACGACTCGAAGAAGTCGCCCCACCCTTCGTTTTCTTCTTGTGGCTGATGTCCGGTTTTAGGGGCTCGATTTTTGGTGTTCCGATGGATTGGATGGGTTGAATTTTTTAGCTTAGCTTTCTCTCAGTCCCTCTCTCTCTCTCTCTCTCTCTCTCTCTCTCTCTCTCTCTCTCTCTCTCTCTCTCTCTCTCTCTCTCTCTCTCTCTCTCTCTCTCTCTCTCTCTCTCTCTCTCTCTCTCTCTCTCTCTCTCTCTCTCTCTCTCTCTCTCTCTCTCTCTCTTGCTCTCCTCGTCAAAAATAATCTGCCATCCCAAGAGTTGCGGCTTGGAACGGAATGGCACCGGGCGATCGGTCCGAAGTTCGGGTTGCGAATCCTCTCAAATCCCGAGATTGGCGGAAGGAGGCAAATGAGGGTGAAAATTGTGTTGCGCCGCTGGCGAGCAATTTGCGGACCGAGATTTTTTGGCTTGATTAGAACTCATGAGGTTTTTCATGTGAATGTGGCCATTTTTAGAGCAAAATATCTCTATCTCGCTCTCTCTCTCTCTCTCTCTCTCGCTCTCTCTCTCATCTTGATCTTGGATAATCAATTTTTCGCGATGAATTCTAGTGCTTTTTTAAGTGCTTTTATGATATCCTTAGTGCAAAATCTCCAAAAGCCGATATTTTACTACTTCCGCTTCCCCCGTCTGAACCAGAAATCGTCGCCTAAAATTTGGCGATGTCACGCGAGACTCCTCGGCCTCCTGGCCAGCCCCGCCCAATTATTCAGCCACCCCCAATTTGCATGGCTAATGGGTGGCAGAAGGGGGAGGCAACTAAATTCCGCCGGATGAACTTTGATCATCTGAGGGTCGCTGCCGAATTTCTTAGATGGTTAAATGGACTTAGAAGTTGTATCGAAAAGCTTGTCGGTATTCCGAAAGTTGCCATTATCAAGACTCCGACACTTTTACGCTCCGTTATTTAATTCTAGGTACTTTAAATAAGCATAATCATTTTCCATAAGAAAGAACAGTTTTTAATTCCTCACAATTCGATGCTAGTTTGCCAAAAGCAAGCTTAGAGAATTCCTAAAGGTTCTCTGCTAGCTTCCTCGCCTGGCGCTCCCCCGAATTTTGATATTGCCGTGACAAACAACCCTGACAAACAGAAATTCGTGTGCCAGTAGATGTGCCGTCGAAATGGGATGATGTTCCTCCTCGCCCCACCCTCGAGAAACGGGCTATTTGCGTCTCCTTACCCAAAAAGAGCCCCATCCAAAAAGCCACATAAGTACCGGTCGGGCCGTGCATTTCCGAAAGGGAAACGGACCCCCGGAAAAGGCCGAGCAAGAGTCGAAAAATGGGTGGGTGGGTGGAATGGGATGGCCCAGGATAGGGGCTTTTAGCCCCGAAGCTGACATATTTCCGGAGTGTCCGTTTTGAGGAAGATGTTTAGCTTGTTGACGTCCAAATTGGCGGCTTGGTTTTTTAGTTCGAAACAGAATTTATTAAATGTTGAAATATCTAGTGATATTGAATTTTTTTCTCTGTCTTTCTCTTCATCCTATCTCTCTCGCGCTCTCTATCTTTCTCCCTCTCTCTCCCTCCCGTCCTCTATATATCATTTTTTGCCTCTCTCGATCTCTCCCTCTCTCGCCCTCTCTATCTCGCTCCCACTCTCTCTCTCTCTCGCTCTCTCTCCCTCGCTCTCTCTACCCCACCTGGCAAGCCAATTCCAAACCAATTTCTCGGGATAAATTGCAAAATTCTGATTTTCTGAATTTTTCAGATCATCCATCTACTCCTCCCAGACGCATCAATCCTAGCAACAAATTTGAGCTTTCGAAACCAATTCCCGGCTGCTATAAAATAATAATAAATTCTGCCCCGGGGCAATGAAGGGCCAGCGAAAAGCGCTGGATGCAAATGATTCACCAGGGCGAATGGCCGGGTATTTTTCTGAATGTTTTTGCGGTTCTCTGGAATTCATTCCAAATTCTCGGGGCTGCCCACCCCCACCATACCCACTAGAATATTCATCGGCCCGTTTTTTGGGGGCAACTAACGGGCAGTTGACTCTGTGAATTCCGCCGGCCAATTGGATAAGGTCAGCCGCCGGGAGGGCGGGTTTGGCAAAGTTCAATTTTTGACATATTCTCCGAGTTTTGAGCTACCACACCTAGGATACCGTACTCAAAGCCGTTCTTAATTTTTTTCTCAAACTCCGAGTATTTTTCCGATCCACAAGAATCTTTGCTAGCTGGCCCCGTAGCCAGATTGATTAGTGGTTCCGAGTACTTGTCGGCATTTCTGGATCATTCCGGAAGGTGCCGAGTTCGAGAGGAATAGAGAGAGAGAGAGAGAGAGAGAGAGAGAGCGAGAGCGAGGGAGAGAGAGCGTAATGGAATTTTGAAATTGAGTTGTCGGTATCTTTTCAATTCTACGCTTTTCATGTCGGTATTTTGCTTGTCGGCATCTTGCCTTGGTGGAATTTTGGTTGTTCACATTCTGAATCTTCAAATTTCGATTGATGACCTTCGACTGCTAGCAGTCTGTTTTGTCGGCATTTCTGCTGTCGGCGTTTTCACCTTCAACGGCCTTTTGACTATCGGTATTTTGTCATGTCCGCGTGGGCCGGCGCGGATGGAATTTCGGATGTCGGCATTTTGACCATTCGAATTCGATTCTCATTTGGGCAGTCGACATTTTCATTGTCGGTATTTTCGCAATGACCTTTTTTTTCTGCTCTTCGAGTCCCTTGAAAACACAATCGGCAGCTCATTGCCGGCTTTCATGCCCTCCAGCTCAAGCTCCTCCCTCAGCTTTGATGGCCCATCGCGATGTGGTGGTGTTGTTTCATCGCGGTTGGTAGGGGGTTAAGAAAAGGAATCCCCGGCAGCCATGACCCCGAAAACCCGTAAACCAGCGTTTGGTCTGGCCCATTCAAGCGGGTTGGGCCCGGAAAAAGAGCGTCAAAAGACCCTCAGAGGGCCCAGACTATTTTTATCAGCCATTGGAGTGGACAGCTGTTGCTCCCGAGATGGATCCCCATCTCAAGCCAGTGCTGGTATCTCTCTCTCTCTCCCTCTCTTTCCGTGTCTCTCGCTGGTGGGGGTGGGTGATATGGTGGCGGTGAGTTCCTGGGGTCCCGCCACGAAAACGTCTTGAGGCGATTTTTCTCAATTTTCGCTCCCCCGTCCGGTTAGGTCAGACCGGCGGGTAACGCTTTTCCATTGCTCTCCGTTTCGGACAGCCGGTCTCGAAAATTCCGGACCGTTCCGGATCACGTTTAACTCCGGCTTTAAAGGCACTCGGCTATCTTGCCCTTACCGTAAATTTAGCTAAGCTCAAGCTATGATTAAAGGTAAGCCGCCAAGACTTTGAAAATGGAAAGTGAAATTTTCAAAGGTATCTCCCGAAATTCCCAAATGTTCTCTGCTCACCTCCCCTTTTCCGCCCGTAAATTTGAGACTTCCTGGTTTTTTGAAAGAAATTCCTTACAACTTGTCATTTCCAAATTCCTTTTTCTTTCTTTCCCGGCTTCTTTCTATCTCTCTTTGATCCTCTGCTTCTCTCTATCCCTCTCAATCTCGCTCTCTCTATCCCCTCTCTTGCTCTCATCTTTCCAAAAGCTCAAAGTCAACGAAAACTGGTTGTTTTGGCTAGTGCCTCAGAGGCGGCGAGCCAGAGGGAGGTAAAGTCCATAAATTCCGTTGTTTTGCCACTATACATTCCAAAGTGAGGGAGGGAGGGGGGCGGGAAGATCATCGCTCAGTCAGAAGACACCAGAAGACCCAAAAGACCCAGAAGAAGCAGGGCCCCACGGGGCCCTGCTTTGGGTCCTTTGGGCGGGTGACTTGGGGGCTTTATCTCGACTACGCATCATTCCGCGGACATTGCTATTGTTTGGATTGGGACAGCTTTGTAATGATGAAATTCTGGAGATAGACGTTCTCTCTCACTCTCTCGCTCGCGGTCTCTCCTCTCGCTCTCTCTCTCTCTCACGCTATCGCTATCTCTCTAGTTCCTGCTCTCTCCAATCTTTTTTTCTTGTTATGACCCATGACCAAAACCCGCGCAGTCGTCCTCCCAGCGTGCCATGTGACCCCTTTCGAATGGGAAAGATGAGGACCCTGGAAATGCAATTTTTAGCAGCGTGCCCCCGGGCTGCTTTTGGAGGGCGTTCCGGATATAACTAGGTTTGGGTGGAAAAACTTGCTAGATCTCGCTCACGTTCTCTCTCTCTCTCTCTCTCTCTCTCTCTCTCTCTCTCTCTCTCTCTCTCTCTCTCTCTTTCTGTTCGGAGGCCGATGGTTTGTTTTTTCCATTCCCGACCTCCATTTTTAGCCCTCAAAAAAAGCCGAGAAAAGCCCTTTCGCCAGGGCAAAAGCCCGGAAAACCTCTAGTGGACAAGAGGTCATTCCTCAATGCTCTCTCTCCCTTCCTCTTTCTCGTGCTCTCCGGCACACCCAGCGTCATCTAATATCCTCCACAAGCCCTCAGAAATGGCCCCCGACCCCATGCTTCCTTCCGTCTTCGAGCACCACCCCTTATTGGTCCACCATAAAAATTCCCTTGGCCTGAGGGAGCAAGACTGACCGGGTTTAATTTGATTTTATCAGGCCTACGGTAATCTGAAGCTCAATTTTCATTCCTATAAAACCGTAATTTCAGGATGTCGATAGTCACAACGTCGAAATTTCATAAATTAAAAATTTTCTAGCGTCGAAATTTCAGGACGCCAAAATTTCGATGTCGAAGCTTCAAAATACCGAGAATTACATAAGCAAATCTGCCAAAAAACCCCAAATCCTATGCAAAAATATCCAGGGTTAAAATGTCGATATTCTGGATTTCGACATTCTGAAAATTTGACACTATGGAATTTCGACATTATGGTTTTCAACATTATGAATCTCGACAATATGAAATTTTTACATATTAGAATCTCGCCATTCTGAAATTTAGACATTAAGGTTTTTGACATTATGATAGAAACTCCAGAAGGCTTGTTTTTGTCGAGCTCATGACGTTGGTTCAGAAATATCAGTTCCGGTGACCTTTAACATGACCGCGTCGAAATTTCAACAACTTCCTATTTTCGGATCTGGGATCCCGAGCTCGTGCTCAAAAATTCAAGCTCCATTTCCTACCCTAAAAGCCATTTCCGGGGCAATTAACCACCCTGTCCGTGTTCCGGATATACCATGTCTTTTCTTGGAGCAACTGACGCTTAGGAAAGAACATTTAACCGGGGAGCTGCCGATCATGATTTGGGTGATGGCCAGAAAAACAATGCGGCATGGACTTGGGCCCCTGGGGTGGGGAGCGAGAGAGAGAGAGAGAGAGAGAGAGAGAGAGAGAGCTAGGTGGTGTGTATCATGTGTTCCACCCTTTCCTAACTAAGTTCCCCAGAACATGTCGTTAATTGGGGGGGTTGGTAGGGTTTTTCACAGAAGTTTGGTGTCGTTTTTCGTCTTCTGTTCTTAATAGGTATTTTCGTTTGCTTGGAAAGCCAAATTCTAAAATTAGCGTTCACCACTAGCATTGATTGTAGATACTTCATATTCTAGGGATCTAATTTAAGCCTATTTTTGTCTGAAAGATAATTTAAGAATAATTTAAGGCTGAAAATTAGAATTTTAGTAATTTTTTTGCCGATTTGGCTTCTCTACTCCTGAGGATTTTTTTTCTTCATAATTTTTTGTAGCACTTTACTGTTCCCCTTTTTCAAATATCTTCAGAATTTTGACTACTAGATTCTAGCTCTAATTTGATATTTTTTTGGTGCATAATCTGCAGCAAAAATACGACAATTATACATCCTCTAGAGGTTTGGATTAGCGCCAGATTAGCAAAAAACCGCGGTGCCAGAAGAATTGCGCTCCAGGTAATAAAACTGTGCAAAGAATGCACTGAACGTGCACGAAATTTGGCAGTCAGCCAGCCGGGTTCAGCGGAATAAAAATTTTTTAAAAATTGTTTGCAGTTTTCGATGGTCAGGAAACCCATTAAAAATAGAGATTTTATCTCATGAATATTCCCCTCCTTCTACCCGACACCTGGTTTTTAAGCTACGGTATCTATCCATTAACTATAGGCCTCCATCCCAGAAACCTTTCTAGCTTCTAGCCCCCGGAGGGCTCTCGGTCAGATAATTAGGGATGCATTATTTGTGGTGGGGCAGTGGCCCCACCACCCCTGCTAAAAAATGGAGAATGCGACCCCACGTATACACAACATCACTCTTTCTCTCTCTCTCTTTCTCTCTCTCTCTCGCTCCCTTTCTCTCCCTTAATACGTATTTACAAAGGGTCGTGCCTTGAAGGCGCGCCTAAGAAAAGCACACTATTCTGATTAGAGTCTGAAGTTCACGGAAAATACCTTGAACCGGGTCTTTGCTCGCATGGATTATGAGGTTTTAATGAAAATTGAGGCTACTTGGATGATACTACAAAGCACGACTAAGTGAGAGTCCATTGAACGTTTGCATCAGCTAGCTTTCGCCATATTACGAGAGATTTCTTTATACGTCAGATTACCTAGAGTTAGCGTTTTCCATCTGATGGACATAGCCAAAGTATCGCCAGGGTGCTGTAACCAATATTCCCAAAGAATCGCTGCTTGCTTGCCCTTGGATGACCTTGCTAGTCCATTCAAAATCCTCGTCTGTGACACCTTTTCCTAAAGAGTTTCTGCTAGCTTGTCGGCTCTCCGGAACTTGTCTCTCCTTGTTAGATTCTAGCCTTCCAAATCCCTTTAAAATCCGAAACCACATTTCCGGAACGATATTCTAATAGCACCACCGTAACCCCGCCCATCCTGCCGGTTTGCCTCGCACTGATCAACACGTTCGACCTTTTTGATGGCTTTGAAACACTAAGTGCTATACCGAAAATCACAAGGCTTTTCCCGGAAGTGTCTCGGACCCCAATTCCCAATTTCCCCAAAAAACCCTGCCAGCCACCCCGAAAACCGACCTTTTGCTGTGCGGTTGCCCTCGTAGCGGTCGTCGCCTGATCTGTGGCAAATTGGACGATGTGGTGCATGATATAGGCAGCCTCTGGAACCGAGTTGATGCTCTCGATTAGCTCCTTGATGCTGATGCTCGGGTCGATTTCGTCGCTCTGAAAAAATGGGGGTCAAGTTTGAGCCCAAAAAAACCGAGAAAGTTTTTGCTGCTAACGCCCCAGTCTGTTTTAGATTATTTTTTTTATTGATTTTTATACCAAACCTTTTGCCAGCCTTTATACTCAACTATAATTTTTTTGATTGTCGTTAGAGCCCACGAAAATCTGGGCCCTAGGGCCCGGAGCCCGGGCCCTAGCACAGCCCAGTAGCGCGGGTGGGTTTCCTGTTTTTTCCGGTCTCGCTTGGGGGGCCAAGGTCCGGGTCTGGGTCCTAGTTTTCTGGGCCGCTAGGGCCAGAAGTCAAAGATGTCCCTGGCCCTAAGGCAGATCCTAAGCCAAGCTTTAGCGAAGCCCAAGCCTAAGCCTAAGCTAAACCTAAGCCAAAACTAGGGCAAGCCTAAGCTGAGCCGAGCCCAAGCCTAAGCCTAAACCGAAGCCCAGTTATAAGCTTAAGCTAAGCGCTCTTCGGTTCTTTTCTGCTTAGTCTCCAGCTTGGCCTCCCACTGGGCCCTGCTTAGTGCCCTGGGCCCTAAGAAGGGCCCAAGCCGGGGGCATAAAGTGAGGGCGGATGGGGGCATTAGGGCCCTAGGGGGAGAGAGGAGGAGGCCAATGGACTACTGGCCATTGCTGGCCATTGCTTCTGAAGGGAGGGTCCTGGGGTATATGGAGATGGCCGGTCGGCAGCCCGGGGTCTTCCGCCCGCCCTGCCGCCATTCTGGGCCCTAAAAAGGGTTCTTCTTAGGGCCCAAAGGAGTCGAGGGGTTATTATTATACTTTCCGGGGTCATTTTGGCAGGGATGGTGTTCGTTTTTGTGTAATTATGCTGCAAAAAACCCTGCTGGCTCGCCTGTGATTTTAAAGGGTCAGGGCTGCCTAATAATTTCCACAAAGATTTCTGCTGGCCGGCCTTCACGAAGCTCGGAAAAAGGACTTCCGTTTATGATGTTTTTCATGGCAACTAATTTTACAAGAAAAACATGGAACTCCCTGGGGATCTAGGGAATCTGTTAGCCTACATAGGCCAATCTCGCTGCGGCGTGCTGCCCATCTCGCATTTGGAACAAGACGCTGAGAATTTTTTTCTACATTTTAGGAGGGTGTATCACTTTCAAGTTCATTCTCTATCTCTAGCGCATGCTCTTGCTCTCTTGCCGAACTTGCTCACGATATTTCTGGACTTAACTCATATCATCGCGCTTATTCTTGGCATCGTCCATCCTTTTTCTCTTCTCTCTCCTTCTCATTCTCCGGTATCTCGTCCTCCTTTATCTCTACCTCGAGCTCCTCCACTCCTTCGGGTCATCCCCCAAATGGCCAAGGATTCCCGGGGGAGCACCACCCGGTGGGCCCAGGACCCATTCCTGCCTGGCGGCTCGAAGTTCGACCCCCTCTATTTTCGGGTCTGGTTGGGAAACGTGCGGTTTGAGTTGCTTTCGGTTTTGTTGATTTGAGCACAAACTTTTTTGTATTTTAAAGGGGTTGAAGCGGCTAGGGAACATTTTTTGCGGTTTTGTTAACGCTTAACTCATTTTGGCTGTTTATCTCTCTCTCTCGCTCACTCTCGCTTGACGCTCTCTCACTCTCTTTGATTCTCTCTCTCTCTCTCTCTCTCTCTCTCTCTCTCTCTCTCTCTCTCTCTCTCTATTTCTCTTGTCCCCCCCCCGGGTGTCAATGGGTCAATCACCGGGCCATTGTGTTGCACATCTCCAAGCCGTATGGGTGGGTGTATTTGCGTGTATGTATTTCCAGAGCTCCCAACATCAAGCCGAAGCAGCAGAGTCCTTCAAAAAATCCAATTTCTGCATGTATTCCTTTCTGTGCCGTCCACCAAAAAGCACCAGCTCACCCCTGGGGCCCCCTTTAAAAAGGCAATTTTTCGGGCCACTTACGGGTCAAGGAGGGTGGGTTCTGGCGAGCAAGAGCTCATTTTCGGAGCCGGTGTAGCCGGATATCCTTGAAAAAAACGGGTTCATTCAGGGTTTTTGGAGCTTAAAAATTGCTATTTATGCTAATTTTTGTTCCCCTTAGCAAATTAAATGGCGAAATTGGTTAGCCTTATTTACCTATTTATAACTATTATAACTATTATTATATAGCTATTATAACTTTTTTACTATAATTTGTTTTTCAATTCAAATAGATAAATCCTCTTGCTTATACAATTTTTGTAATGTTCAGATTAGCTTACGTAATAAAGCAGCGTAATCGGTTATCCGCTTTTTGGTATGGAGCGTAGTGACGATTTAATTTTTTCTATACAATTTTGTTTAAGACAGCAAATATTGATTTGATTCGAGCTCTTTCTGAATTAAAAGGTGTAATTCATCGACCGTTGGCAGGTGTATTACGTCGTCTGGACAGATTCGTGATCAATTTAAGTCTATAACTTTAATGTTTTTGTAGTTTTTTTATTCTTTCCTTATTAAATACAATGGTTCCTCAAACTATACATCCCACTACGCCATTTCACTCCCCCACCCGGCTCCCGTTTTCCGGGCGACCAACTTCCAGAAATTCGGCATTTCCGGTGCAGACGGGTGGTCAAAAATCGGGTGGTTGCAGGGGGGTACATGTCACTTTTTTTTGTTTTACGGGTTTTGGAGGCCATGCGGCTTGTTTAGATAGTCAAAAATTAGCATCTACCGTTTTTAAAGGGACCTGGAAATCGCGAAAATCCGTCTTTCTCAAATACTAGGTCTCTACAACTCCTTAACACTCCAAAATACGCTAATCTTCACCCAATACCCAGTGGTTTGAAAAAAAGTTCAAATTCCCTTTGATCCGTAAATTGGCGCTGAACGTAGTTGTCGAGATCTAGTCGAGTCCAGAGGTTGATTTGCGAGTTCCTAAGCCCTTTAAAACGTGCTGTAACCTGCACTTTCCCGTAGTTTGGATTCTAAAATCCGCAAAACCCAGCGCTTCTTAAGATTTATAGTTATGGATCACCCACTAGTCGTTGCCCTTCATGATCTAACATCCCCTTTTTCTGCTCCTCATCCTCATCCTCCCTATCCCCCTCCCGCCTTCAACCCCATAAAATCTTTTATTTATAAATGGCGTGTGTGTATGAGTCCGTTGCTCTCTCTCCTCTCTCACTCTCTCTCGCTCTCTCTCTCTCGCTCTCTCACTCTCGCTCTCTCATTTCCGATGTGGGTCCCGCGCTGCGAACAAATCAAAAATTCCAAATCACAACCCCTGGGCGGGAAAGTGGAAGACAAGAGCACGACCAGCAGAATTCCGCGATTTCACTCCACCCTCACCCAAGGGCTGCAAAAACTAGATCAATGGACAATTTTTGGATTTACGATTATCCTACCAAGACGTAGCAGGTCCGAATTTTAGCAAGGGTTGATTTTAAACTATTCTAGTCAAAGTTTTGCTTACCTCCCGCCTCTCTCGAAGATCGACTAATTTTCAGTTTCAATTTTCAATAATTTATAGACGCAAAATTGGATGCAATAAAGGCGTTTTCATGCTGTACGGTAGGATAACATTAGATGAAGCGCTGAGGCGTAAGCTGATGAATTTCCTCCTGATTAAATGAACTGATTAAACCGAACTTTTTAATTCTTGATTTTTCTAATCTCCTCTTCAATTAGAATTTTTTTCTGCAAAGGGCCGTCAGTTCGGATTCGCACGGAATTCTTTACCCCCTGCCCGCTTCCCCGCCAATTCTGCAAAATCTCGGACCGCCAAAACCAAAATCCACTTTTTTTGAGTGCCTACAAAATTCTAGGGTCCGGCTGACTGGCCACCCCGGGGGCGTGAGCCAGCTCCAAATTTTGCTCAAAAAACCGGTCCGGACCCAAATTTTATGGCAAAAAAACACTTGTTATTCCGACTCCGGGCTGCGTTAGGTTTTTTGAAAAAGATACGAATTTTGTTTTGTTGGATCCTCAGAAGAACCATGTGAAAAAAGCGGTTCCTGGGAATCGAGCTGAAAGGAAAAAAGCGTGGGATTCCAATGAAAAACAGCTTTAATTGGAGAGGTTTTTAGAAACGGTAATTTTTAAACTTTTAAACTAGCGGCTGCAGACTACAAACTAGGCAATCTAGCAGGGAACATTTAGGAAGGAATTCCAATTGCTACTGCGCAAGGGACAGTGAGAGAGAGAGACAGAGAGAGCGAGAGAGAGGGACAGAGAGAGATAGAGAGAGAGAGAGAGAGAGAGAGAGAGAGAGAGAGAGCGAGATAGAGCGAGGGTGGGAAAAAGAGAGGGCATGCGAGAGAGATATCGTGGGCATGCTCCCTTTTAAATTGCCGAAACTGGTTTTTCCAACTATCAGGTGTCTTCTGGTTTTTCTAGCTCTTTGCGTGTATTTCTGACCTAATTCTTTTTCTATTTAACTCCAGAATAATTCCTATCGGGCCCTCCCTTCCCCCCGGTAGCTCGATCTCTGCTCGATGAGACTGAGAATTGGGAGCTCTTTCTCCTCTTTTTCTCCTCTTTTCTACCCCATCCGCCCAGAGAATGCCGAGCTGTGGAAGAAGAAGAACCCAACGGACACACACCACAGTGGCTTCAGTGGATTGAGGAGAAGGGGGGGGGGGAGGAAGATGAATGCAATTACGCATCGGATCGCCCCGCTCGGATGCGCCGCTTTTTTAAGGAGTCGAGGGAAGCAAAATGGGGCCCCGGGATTTGGGGGCCATTCTCCTTCAATATTGCAAATTTTAAGGGAATTGTTGGCGGCTAGAATCAGGTTCTGCATCATCCGATTCCGAGACAATCTCTTTAGGCTATTCTTCGATTCAAGTTTTCGAATTTTGGAAATTCCGAAAGTCTCGAATCTTAGGTGTATAATTCTGTCGAAATTCTTCTGGTTTTACTTTTTGTCTCATAAAAAACCTTAGTGCATCTTTTTTGGAATTCGTAAATTTTAGCACTGTCGGTGCATAATTTTTTAGCTAAATTTAAATCGCTCTGGCTTTTTCGGCTTCAATCGTCCTTGAAAACATTTTAAGAACCCAAAAAAATTTCGAATTCGCGGGTTTAATCTTAAATTTTGCCATTAGATTAATGTATAAAAAATTGTGCAAAAGTCTTTTGAATGCGCGTACCTTTATCTGCATCTTTCTTCCTTTTCCTTATCATTTACTCAGCTTATTTTCATATATTTAATTTTTAATTCGATTAGACTTATACCTTCAAGGCGCTTAAACGATTTCCAGGTAGCTGAAAATTTCAGTACGCTGCAAAAGTAATTTTGCATCCAAATAAGAGTCCAATTTGGTCCCTATTTCCTAAAATACACCTCCAGGCCCTTCCACCCTCACCGTCCAACTTCCGGGGCGCTCCGAACCAGATCCCGCCCTCCACAAGCCCAATCCCTCCTAAAGTCGAGGCGCCAAATTCGTGCTCGAAATTGGACATTTTTGGGGAGAGCGACACCAAAAAACGAGCAAGAGCAGGAAGGAAAAAGCTGGTGCTCGGATGTTGCCGAGATCTTTGAGGCTCACCCGCTCTTGCGAAAGAGTTGAGAATGGATGAGCGCGAGAATTCGATCAGGGGCTGTGGCCAGTGTGTTGTGAGGGGGAAGTCGAAAATGGACACTCCCTTTATCGGGGGAAGCGCGAAAAAGGTGTTCCTTTTGTTCGGGTCAACTTCGTGGAGTAGGTTTTCAGAACATTTTTTGGCTCCTATTAGCAACAGAAGGAGCTCGAGCTCCTTAGAGAACTATCAGATTTTTCTAACCGTTTTCCTGCACTTTTCGGCATGTTTTTGATGGATTTTAAGACGGGTTTGAGCCATTAAAAGTTTTTAGAAACTTTTTCCTGCGTGTTTTGAACTTTTTTACGACTTTAAGTGCTTCGGTGCACGAGCTAAGGCAGCTAAAAGCTTCAGCTCAAGCTTCTTTCTTTCCTGTTCTTCTGTTTATCGCGGAAATTTTGCTTGGAAATTAGGCTGTTCCTGTTGATTTCATAGAGTAATTCAATTTTTTAATTTTTTCTTATCTGTTCATGTTTTCGTATTTTGCCTCAATTTAAATAGGTCGATTTTCTGGAATGTCAAACCGGCCGTCGATAGAATTGCCAGCCCCGGTGAAGCGGGAC